ACTCGGCTCGCGAGTCATTTTCTCCTGCCTCTTGGAGCTGGCGAGAAAGGGGGCCTACGGCCTGGTTCAGAACGTTTACTTATTCGGTTCTCCTCTCATCATCAAGAAGGACGAATACCTCCGAGCCCGAACCGTTGTTCCAGGAAGATTTGTCAATGGGTACAGCAGCAACGACTGGATCCTCGCCTACCTTTTCCGATTGACTGGCGGTGGCCCGCGCAAGGTGGCCGGTCTGGCTCCCATTGAGGACCTGCCGTGGATTGAGAACTTTGACGTCACAGAGTTTGTCAAGGGTCATATGGAGTACCGTAAGGCTATGCCGCGTCTCCTCCGAGAGTGCGGATGGCTCGTGGAGAGCGATGAATTCACCGAAATCGAAGATGCCGATCCCGATAATCACCAGGAACGTCAGCGAGAACTCATCAACGAAATCGAGGAGGCTCGCAAGGAGCTCGAGAGGGAGGGGCAGAAGAAGAAGAGCCGGTTTTCCATCTTTGGGCGGGGTAAGAAGGCGGACAAGGAGAAGTGGGAGATTTACGAAGACTCGGCAAAGGACGGAAACAAACCGAACCCGAGGACGGAAGACAAGGAGGGTAACAACCACGGTGTGCTGTTCGACGTCGAGGCCATCCGAGCCGAAGTCGCAAAGGAGAAGACTGCCACGACGCAAGAGGAGGAGCCCACAGAGTTCCAAGTAAAGGAGCTCAAGTCTACGCTTCCGCCCATGAGACTCGATCTGAGTTCGTCAAACGGATCGCTCAACCCGCGAGACAGCCTGCGCGAGACTAAGAGCGCGTATGCGGTGCCGGGCCGGGCCTCGTACGAGACGACGGGCTCTTACTCGTACACGCCCGAGAGGACACCAACGTTCCAGGGCAGCCAGACGTTCTCGCCCACGCTGCAGCAGAGGGCCGTGTCGCCGTACCACGCAGCGCCGTCGCCGCTTGAAGAGGAGGTGGAGATGACGTTTGACACCTCCTTTCACGATCCGCCGCCGGCGCCGCGGCCGCCGCCCAAGGACGATCCTGCTCCCGCTCCGCCGCCGTCACGGCCGGAGATGAAGTCGGCACAGACGGTGCCTAATATGGGGGCGTCGAACCCGTGGGCGGATGTTGATGACGATGATGATTTTGGCAAAGAGAAGGAGATCCAGATGACTTTTGCATAAATGTCCCTCCCGGCCCCCGACATGGGGGAAGCAAGCATGGAGCATGGCTTTTGGTGGCGTATGAGTTTTTTAATTTTTTTTTTGAAGCGAATCGGGACTTTGTCTCCGGACGATGGTGCTGCAGTACTCGCTCTGTCTTGTTGCTTGAGCAAGAGGGTTTGCGTTTCCCCAGGTTTGGGGGGAGCCCTGGTGCCCTCCTCCCCTTGACAAAGGAGTGCTTACAAAGGGCGTGTTTACAATGTTTACAGAAATCAATCAATCACGATGTGTTTTGCTGTACGACTGGGGGGAGGGGTCTGAGGGAGAGGTGAAGGATGCTTGTTGGGGTTCTCTCTTGGGTAGAGATTTGGGAAAATGAGGGTTTTTTCACAACTCACTACAAAGCCAACCGTAGACCGACCGTTCGAGTATATAATTTTAACTGTCTGCGAGGACGGTTGCAAAGTAATACAATAAAGAGATGAAGTTTTACAAACTCACAATCTCTTTAGGATTTTCAAGAAGTACTTTTTTTGGTGGAATAAGGAAAAATTGTTAACATGGTTGATGCCAGGAAACGGGGGAAGGAAGCTCCGGGGTTTGTGCATAAGCTGTGAGCTGAAGCCAGGGAGAATCGTGGAAACGTCTTCTGTTTCCCCGTCTCCGGATATGGAATGATGGTCCGGCGTGTAAGTCCTGTGGAATTACAACCTGGTGTCTTTGTTGGACTGTCGACCGTTGGTCCGGTCACTCTGGGTGGCTTCTTTTGGTAATCGATCTATAAACGTGTATCATACACGCCGGGGGGGGGGGGGGGGTTCCGTTGACAAGTACTTGCACACGGCATACGGAAGGGGGAAAACGGGGGGCGCCAGAGTGACGGACAGGAGAAACAAGTAAATTCGAAACTACAGAATTGGTTTGGATCACTGAGCAACTTCTATGTCCATATGAAGTCTTCCTCTGAACCGATATTCCCAATCGATGTATTTGTGGTAATTAGCTCACCGTCTCACGCGCCCGAGCTTTCTCCATCATTACAAGGGCCTCGCAATGGCAAACATGCGCCGAGGAAACCAACAATGTGCAAGGGGGGGGGGGGGAAGCCTTGGCCAGGCGAGACGCTTGCTCGGGAAGTGGGATATCATTTTCTCTCTCTCTCTTTCTCTCTCTCTCTCTCTCTCTCTCCCTCTCTCACGACGCGCCCGTTGGAAGTTGGGATCTTGTGTGCATGTGGCATGTTTCGTCGTCGTTGGATGTTGGCTTGAAGGCGCGCACGGGGTGGAGCTGTCTGTGGAGCTTCGGGACAGGGTTGCATGGGGGGGGGGGGGGGTTTTGTTAGGCAGGCCGCAGAGCCCAGGTTGGTGTGGTTGGATCGGCAGGCAGCAGAGAAGAGGGTGTGGACAATGCGACGTAGCGAGTGGGGGAAGGGGGGAATTGGACTTTTGGGAACATGGGATGGCACGGAAAAGAGCTGTGTGTCGTCTCTTGGTCTTAGAGTGCTTTTCACGAGCTTTCGGTACAGACGAAGCGTGTTCTCGAAATCAGGTGGCATTCCTCGTTTTGAAATGGGATGGCTCTTATCCACCAAAGAGCATCTGAAGTAAGCCTCGGGGCTTGACAGCAAGTAACCGTGCGGGGGGAACGAGGTCAGACCGTTAGAATATGGGTAGGAATAGGAAAGCTTGAAGAGGAAGCTTACTTTGTTTTAATGAAATGGTCCACGGCATACGTAGGCCCATGTCACCACCCGTTGATATGAGAGTGCTGAGAGCCTGACCACGGCATGGAGCAGAGTAAATAAGAGACTGCATATTGTCGGCGACGGTTGCGGGAGAAGGATTTGGTGTCGACTGTCGAGGTGGGCATCGCCCCGGTGAGCGTCCAGGGCCTAATGCGGGTTGGGCAAAGCTCACATCAGCCGCAGCGACACTAGCAGCTCAGCGTGCGGTAGCGCTAGACCGACCGTTGGCTGGTTTCCATCAAACGGTAAGGGTCGTCGCCTGTCTTGTCCGTCTTTGGGTTGGCAGGCACGTAGGTTGGTTGGAACTTGGGCTGCTTCCATAGGAGTACTCCGTACCTTACTGTGTACAGTAGAGAGACGTTGGTCTGCATGTCTGCAGGGGGGGGCGGCGGCGGCGCCTCTTCTTTTTGTTTCAATTAATAGCATCACCTCAGGTCTCTGGTGTGTTGCCTGCGCCGCGTTCCATTGGATGGTGCTTATTTGCTGACCGGTGGGGCTGGGGCTGGGTTTGGGTGGCTCCCCCCAAGGTTTAGCGTTGAAAGGGTGGCCCGCTTTTTTCCAGCCTTACCACGCACCTCTCTCTCATTCTCTGTCTTTTCGTCTCCCGTCTCTTGCATTTAGTACCTCGAATCTGGGACATGTCAATGGCCATATTGGGCTTGATTGTAAGGGAGGAAGTCGACTGACCATAATGTTCAGAAACAGTCTATGCTGCCCCTCTCTGTCCTGTGTCCTTGGGATGGCGCCACCATCGAGACTGGTTGGTGGCGGAGCAGACTGGTGATTGCACTCAGCACTCGTTGTTGCTGCAGTGTAACATCTCACCAATCCAGTGTGCCGATCCTGGGATTGTGGGTGGGGGTTTCAATCGAAAAGGATAGGCAGGCTGATCTTCTAAAGGGAGGGAAGAGAGGTGAGAGATGAAGGAGACGTTTGGGGCTTCTTCTTTGGGATTCCCAACCCTGCGCCGAGCTGCCTGTTGGACAGACCCACCGGGTTGGAAGGCACGCACGCATCAGTCGTTTCCTTCCAAGATATTGTCAAGATGTGCTCCGAAACGCAGGTAGAAGACGAGGACAGAACCCTTTGCACTTCATGACCGTCTTCGTCTTTGCTAGTACCTACTTACCTAAGGTACACACTATGTAGAGAGTCTCGCTAATACCAAACACTCGAACCTCAGCCTCAACCACCAACAAAGCTGCCTCGCAAGGGAATGTACAGCGCCTCACTCTAAATATCCAACCATAGCAAGCAAGTCGACCATCAAAAACGGACAGGCGACGAACGGTATTCATACCTTATTGTCAATCTGACCTTCGACCAGCCGCGGATCCTTCCTTCCTCATTTCTTTGGGCGGCGCTGCCTTGGCAGCGTGGCTTACTGTAGTTGGTGTAGCGCAGATCCATCCCCCGAATCCCTGCACATGCACCGGGAGACGACTAATAGTATAGACTGCAAAAGGCGAAGGAAGCGAAGAAGCGAAAGAAAGCTCGCGAACCCTGACAATACACCTTTCCTCTCGGTAACGAAAGCGCGCGCGCAAGAGCCCAAGCCCCTTCTCCTTCTTCCCCCTCACCCCGGTCAGCAGCAGCAAACTGGCCGGGACCTGGCCAACGAGAGAAAAGGCGCCCGTCTCGTTGATCCTTGTCAGCCCCAAGATTGTTAGGTAGGTATTGCATCTGTCTCTATGTCTCTGTCCTACCAACTTGTCTCATTTCTTCTCCGTCTTACACGCCTTGGTGGCTTTCTTCTCTCTGACTTTCCCGCCTCTCTCTCTCTCACAGCCTGGTCATTCACTTTCTCCATCCTGCTTACTTCGTTTCTCGCATTGTCTTCACTACTTGCTTCAGTTCATCTCATTTACACTTTTTGTGAGGTGACGGGATATTTCCCTCGACAAGAAGGATACCTAAGGAATCACAGTCTGGGAAAAGCTTTGGACATTTTGGTCGATTCTGCATAGAGGACGAGCACGATCGGACTTGAGGATACGATACTGTCAAACATATCCGACACCAACGGACTCGAGCGATGCAATCATCGTGACGAACACTGCATACACGGCATATAAGTAGACTGCCGAGAAGAACGAGAGACGTCACAACATGTCATATCCAGCGCCTGTTCAGCTAAGTCGCGATGACACATCCGAAAAGGCGCGCATTGTCATCAACAGCGGCGGCGAGAACGGTAACGTCGCCTTCGAGGGCGAAGGCTCCAGTGGTATTGACTTCACATCCAATTTGGGAGATCCGACAAGGTCAACCACGGACGTAGAGGGGAGGAAAGTCATGTTCGACAACAGTACCCTCACTCCACACGATCAATACGTCCTCGTCACGCCAGAGAGTCCATCTCATGCCATTAAGTGGGACCTTGGCGACGGAGTCAAGCTCAGTAAGGCTATTTGGGTGGCAGAATGGGATAAGGGAGATCTGACAACAATTTCGGAGGCTACCCTCAGCCAAGATGATCGAGGGGTGGAATCTAGGAAACTTGGAGCAACATCACCACCTGCAGCCCCCCTTGTCACCACCAATGTGAAGCGTCAAGACTCTATTACAAGTGAGTGGCCTCCGTATCCAGTTTTGGGAATGGTCCCAAGGTCTCTCGCGTTTGTCGGAACTCCATCTCAGCCAGCTGCTAATATTCCTCAAACAGTGGGATTCACTGACACTAGTCTTACCCTTCCCCTCGATTCCAAGGTGTTAAGGTTCTTGTACTCTAGTATGTACATTGAGCTTCAGTGGACATTGGCAGAGGAATCCGGCACGACGAAGACTGGGTTATTTACCATCACAAACGGAACCTACGGGTCTCAAACGTACTATGACGCAGTCGGCAAACTCGCGGATCGACGTAAAAGGGACCCCGAGTCGGCTTCAGGAATCGAAGGACCGGCCGACTCGACGTCGACATCATCAATGTCCGCCACTCAGACAACACCCACTCTCACAGCCTCTCTCAACCCGAATGCATCACAATCAACCCTTCCTGTTAGTTCCGGCGGCAGCAGCAGTAGCAGTGGCGGCGGCAGCGGAGGACTTGCGCCCGGTGCCATCGCTGGCATCGTCATCGGGAGTGTTCTCGGCGTCGCCCTCATCGGGTTCCTGATATGGTTCTTCCTCCGCCGCCGCCGCCGCCGCGCTGACCACGTCTCGGACGGCGCGTACGGCACTGGCCACAATCCCCATGAATACCTCGCCGACAAGGAGACTCATGCTCGCGTGACCGAGTCGCCACACTCCCCCTACACCGACGATGGACAGCACCAACACTCTCAGCACCACCTTCACGAGCAGCAGTCACAACCTCAGGAGCAGCATCATCTCTCGCGGGAACTGCATCAAGACGATCACGACGACGCTTTTGAGACCGCCGCCGCCGCCGCCGCGGTGCCTGCCTCGGCCATCAGCGCCACGGATCACCATCAGCCTCCTTTCGCACCGTACAGAGAGGAGAACATGTCCACTGCCTCGCGGTCAGTCGAGGACATGACCCGCAGCGGCGCCGGCGGTCCGCGCTCGTCGACACCCAACGTCAATTCCAATGTTTCGCATCTGATTGAAGACGGCATGACGGAGGACGAGATTCGGAGGCTGGAAGAGGAGGAGATGGCGTTGGACGCGGCCATTGAGCAAGCCGGACCGCGGAGGAAGCCGTAGAGAAATGCGTGTGTGCGTGTTAAGAGCCCGCTATAGTTGATACCATTTTGGTTTCTGTACTCGGCAATATATATCAATATGTGTATTGTCATTTCTTGTTCTATACTATTGCGGTTGAATAATTCACCTGGGTCTTTTGGAACTTTTGTGAGCTTGCTAGACCTGTCTTTGGTGTTATGGTTTCGATCGTCCTGGCTAATATTTGTAAGATGGCTTGTCGAAATCCACTTGTCAAGCTCTGAGAGAAAAAAAGACAGAGAGGCGAAAGAGAGGAGAAATTCTCATCACAAACTACGAGAGAGTGCCTTTTCATCTTGATGTCTTGAAGTGCAGGCGCCCTTCTTCTCATCACCCCAGACGGAGAATAGAATCCGTTGCCTTGTGGTAAAGATGGCCGAAACTTGATATTGTCACATCGATAGATCACGGTGCTATTCTCTACAGCTCTAGCCCTTTTCGCTCCACGTGGAGGCTCTTTGACTCGCCTGATGGACGAGTGACCCTCGAAATCAAACACCCATCTCATCACTTCGACGTATTGCAAAACTAAAGCGATCCGTCTATGGAATTTTCGTCGCATTTCTGGTCGTGTTACTAACTAAGTACAAGTGGGCAATCTTGTAATCTTCTTCATTGGTTTTATTTCCTCTTGGAGTAGACAGGGTAAAACACTCCTGTGCGACGATTTGAGCAAACTCTCAACCATCCAGAGAGATTCAAGGCCATGGTCCAAATGAATAATGAATCCCAAACTCAACGGACACGTTGCCCAAAGTCGCAGGCACAAGACAAAAACCACCATCCAAATGGAATCGATGCTTCTCCAATTAACAGTATTCCCAAACCAATCCTCTGCAAGCTGCGTCTGTGGGTTTTCGGCTATGATAGAACCACTAGGTTGCGTCCGAATGTGTCGGAAAGAGATCCCGTTGCATGGCGATAGAGTCTTGCGTACTGACGATTGATGGTCAAAAGTGTCTTCTCTCATGCCTCGTAGCAAATCGCCTTGTGGCGTAAGCATGCCGGAAGGGCGTACGGGAAGAGAGAGGAGAGCAAGAAAAGGAGGGTGAAATTAGCGGCGTTTGTCGAAAAGGGGTAATGGCGTAAGGGGAAGTAGCCGGTAAGAGAAAGATACGTAAAAAGACAAGCGAAACAAAAGTTGAAGTATTCCATAGCAAGATTCTGCAAGTCCGTTTGCAGGCAGAATGTTAGGTCGACAATATCGTTCCGTCGTCGCATAGTCGCGATGTCGTCTGTAGCTTTTTTGCTGGTGACAAGCTCGCAAACGATCCCTCGATCGTGGAAGTTCAGACATGATGAAAGAATCAGTAAAAATAAGTTGTAAAGCTGCTCTAGGCGACAAGTAGCTGCAAGTCAATCCGGGATCAGTACGCCATGGGAACATAGTCGTCGCAGCCAGGGATGAGAAGGGTGTGGACATCACTGTCGGACATGTCATCCGGAATCTCCATGACAATGCCGATAGGAGGAAGCTTGGGCTCTTGAAGGGCGTCGTTGCTCGTGGTTGATGACTCGAACGGAACTTCAGCAGCGCATGGAGCACCGTTCCCGGTCGTCGTGTCTTGGTCAGTCGTATGAACAGAGAAGCCGTGGAAGGAGCGAGCATGAAGGTTCTCATGAGTGTCAGAAGCACCAAAATCAAAGCCATATCGCTTCTCTTTCGGTGGAGTTGATTGGTGGCCCTGGTAGTATTGCTGACGAGCGGAAGTTGAGCTGTAGTCGCCGTGATAGCCATCCTCTCCCGAATAACGCCCGTGATCATTTGGATCGTATGATGAATTGAAGCCGAATCTTCCGAAAGAATCATCAGGATAGCTGCTGAAGGAATCGAAATGATTGTGTGCACCGCCTACCTGATGATCCCAATTGGGGTATGGATCTTGCGCATTCCGAAAGGAACCGTCTTGATTAGCACATGGGCCATGGTTTCGCTCAGTGCGGCGAGCATCGCGGCGGGATGACCAGTCCGAGGCGTGATGGTTCTCGTAGTTATGGTTGCCATCAAAGTAGTCATACAGTGAGCCCCAGCCGGTTGGCGCGATAGGACTAGGTGGGCATGGCTGATTCTCCTTTCCTTGGCCGTAGCAGAAATCGCCGGAGCCTTGCGGCTGCTGTTTTCGATTGCTTGGATTCGATCGATCTCCGGTGAGGCGAGACTGGTCACCATTGCTGGTGGAACAATCCCTTGGAAGGTTCCCTCCGGTGGTATAGAAAGTGCTAGAATGAAGGGGGTTGTTGCCAGAGACCTTGACCGAGTTGGATGTGAACCTCGCAGCAAAGTCGTCCCATCCTGCCGCACCCTCATTGCTCCAAGAGTTGAAGCTGTGGTCGTCAATGCTGCATAGGGGCACGTAAAACCTTCCTGCAGTCCTGCCATCAGGGTCTCTCAGTGGATCTTTGAGAGGAACGGCCTTCTTTCCATCGCGAAGATCATCATTGTACTGCTCGTATTGGAATTGCGCGTATGGATTATCACCCTCGGGGTGCTCGCGCTGCCAGAAAGTCGGAGATGTGCGGACCTCGACACGCTCACTGAATCTTGCTCGCTTGGAGGGTGAACCAGTTTCCGAGTTCAGGGATGGACCGGGGTCAACACAATCTTCGCTGGCCAGGGACTGTGCTGTCGTTTGAATTGGTGTAGCGGGTGCGGTGGTCGCAGAGGTGGAACGGTTTGAGGCTGGCGAGCTGCGAGAGTGTGAGGGCATGTCGTCCTCGGGTCGTGGACTCGCTTCAGTATCAGGAACGTCCTCAACCGAAGGAGCTTTATGGCCAATGCTTGCCGCGACGACGTTGTTCGCAAGATCATCATCGTGACGGGTCGTAAAGCGCTGAGACTTGGGTTGAACCTCTTCCAGAGGTACCGCATCGCTTGCTCGAGCAGAACGGCGCTTTTTCAGTCGCTTTTGAACAGACTCCGATGGAGAAAGCTCATCCGACTCGTTTCCAGCTTCGTTGCACTCAAAAAAACAGTCTGTGGCATCTTTCTTCGTCTCTGCCTTCTCTTGCTGGAGCGTTGTGCGAAAACAATTGGCAGGATCTGGGTTCTGTCCATCGTGTTGATCTGCGTCAAACTCGGGCACATCCGATTCCGCTTCACTCTCATCGGAAGACTGGACATCGTTAGCGTCTACAGCTGTTGGGTGTAGTAAATGGTAACACTCACGCTACCGAGCAAAGTCTCTGTCGGAATGACTGCTTTCTTGGAAAGACGTTTCATGCAATGAGCACAAAAGTTCTTGATCGGCTTTTTGGTGGGCTTGATGGGATTCTCCTTGTTGAAGTGAGATGAGCGGGCAAATCCACAGCCAAAGCAAAAGTTCCCATAAGCCTTCACTGTCTTGCCATCGCCGCTGTTTAGGTGCTTCTCGTGGCACGGCTTGCAGAAGTTGCGCCAAGCCGGGTTTCCAGCTCGAAACTTGCGGATCTTGTGTTGCTCGTCTGATCGGCGAATACCACAGCCCAAACAATAGAATCCATCGGTATTGTCGTCAACATGAACCGCGATCTCGGACGCCTAGTCGCAAGATGTCTCGTTCCTGCCGCGCTTGGTGTCCCGTCTGGTATCCTGGCGATGATGATGCGACGCTTGCTTTCCACGTCGTGATTTTTCATGGGTGGCTGCGGTGATGGTGCTATCTGTGGCCTCCGTCTCGACATCTTTCCGAAGTTCTGCAGGCTCCGCAAGAAATGTCTCTTCCACATGACAACCCGAATGCGATTCAGGAGTGAGCTTGAAGCGGCTCTGGGTGAAGGCTGCCGAAGAGCACGCATACATGGGGGATGTGGCAATTCCGGCTTCCGACGAATCAAAGCAGACAGATTGGCAGCGTTGCGAGGCCGAGTAGACATCAGAGTAGGTCGATTCGGACTGCGAAAGTCCCTTGGAACGGCCAGAAGCGCGACTAGATCTGATGCGTCTTCGGGGAGGTGCTCCGACAGGTCGTCTCTGGCGCTCGTAATGATCGTCCAACGGCTGATGGTGAGTCAGACGAGGGGCATCGTTGCGTGCCGCTGCTTGTGATCATCAGTATTTTGGTAATTGAATTTCAAATCATGGATGAGAATGCCTCACAGCGATGCCGAGAGGAGTCCGTTCCTCCAGCCCTCGAAGCCAGAGGCCTCTCCTTGGGTGCCATGCTCGTAGAATATCCCGTGGTTTCCAGTGGAGTCGGCAATATCCTGGATGAGGCGTTTGCAAGCAATTTGAAAGAAGTTTGGGGAGAGTTCCAAGGGAAGCAATGGGTGACCCAGATCCAGAAGGGTTGTTGTGGTGAGGCAGTTCACAGGTGCAACACCATGGAAAGAACGCTCAGGGAGCTCCTTCCCCGGGAAAAAAACTTCAAGTACTACCCAAGAAGGAACCAAAACCGGGCAGGCAGCAACGCAAGGCTTGAAAGAAAAGTGGGAGGTACGTACCTGTCCGTGTTGCTATGTGCCCTCATAGCTTTTGGTATCTGCTGGGGATTTTCTTCCACTTAGTACTTCTTCATATGAGTGAGTATAAGAGAATCCCGAAGTCGGTCAATAGCTAGTGGTGAAGCAAAGGATGCCCGCAGTGCCCCTATTGCTCAACATCCGGGCAATATCACTCCTAGGACCCAGACACGTCTTGGTTGGTCGTTGGCTCTCTCGGGAATACATAGGCTCCTCGTCTTACCTAACTTTCGTGTGCTGATGAGCCTGTGGTTACTCTACAGATCTCTGTCAAACCACAAGCCTGCTGAGACAGGAAATATGAAGTGTCAAACACCTTCGTCAGCATCGGTAGTCCTAGTAGCCCGCAAGGGTGCGAAAAGAATCATGATCAAGTAGTGTACATTCGCCTAAGCGTGCTTTTTGTGTCTACATGTGGAATCTAAAACCACCTATCCCTGTCCCAATACAAAGAAATTGAGAGGCACTCTCGAGACAACATCCTCAGAGTGCCTTGTTGTCCCCGTTATTTAGTCAACTCTGAGGACTCTGGGACCGCGCTTCTTAATGGCCTTCTTCTTCTTCTGGCCTCTCTCGAAGGCTGCAGCGGCCTGGTGGTCACGACCAACGTTGTCAAGGTCCTTGACCTTGTAGATACGAATGATCCAGTTCTCACTGGTGAAAGCCTCCTCAACGGTGTCAAGCTTGGGGCCGACATCCGGGAGACGAACGCCACGGACGCGGTCCTGGGCCTGACCAGCGGGGAAGAGCGAGTTGTAGTTATAGTAAGACATCTTGTACCTATAAGATTGTTAGCAGAAACTCGAATTAAACAAGCATGTTTTCTCTTACATCAAGCTGTTCTTCATGGTGTCGGTCGCTTGGTCATCGACTCTGTACTCTCCACGGGGGGTGAAGAACTTGCGCTCCTGGACCTCTTCGGGCCAAATGCCCTCAGCAATGCGGACCATCCACAGGAACTTGTTGATGTCGTCACCGGAGTAGCCCAGAAGACCACCGAACACGACCAGGACGTAGTCGACCTCGTGCTGGCGCATGATGGGGTAGCTGACTTCCTCACGAGAGCTCATCGCCTTGCCAACAGTGGCAATGTGAGTGTTGTTCCATGTGTTGTTGTCGACGAGAGTGGGACGGTCGGCCATGCCACCAATCTGGTAGCCGTAGTCCCACCAAGACATGATCTTGGCGTCCTCCTTGGTGTTCTGACGGAGCCACTGGTAAGCCTCGCGATAATCATCAATAATGTGCTGGCTTCCATCGGGCAGTCGGCTGGCAAGGACGACAGAGGGCGAAGAGTAGGCATTCGAGGTGACCCAAGTGCAGTGAAGCACAAAGAGAAGCAAGAAGATGGACATGCCACCAACGACGACAGCCTTGGAGAGGAAGGTGTAGATACCGACGACCGGCTTGCTGGTCGATTTGAGTCCACTCTGCTTGGCCGCCTTCTTGGAGGCTCCCTCGGCAGCATCATCGGTCTTGTAGTCCTCAGGGTTGGGGGATTTGGCGACCATGTATGTGTCGAGGATTTGAGATGCCGCCATAGCCGCAGCAACGCAGACAATGGGAGTGAGAGTAAGCATCAAACGCACCATGACACCGGCAAAATAGGTGCCAAAGAGGGCGTAGACGACAACGAAAACGTGCTCATCTCGGAGGTTTTGGAAGCAAAGGTAGACTCCAGCAGGGAAGAGCCAGACAAGCATGTTCAGGTCGAAGAAGAAAGCAGGCCAAGCGGTAGGCTGGTGCTCAGAGACTGATGCAATAATGGGGATGTGAATCTTGGCGTAGCCAGTATCCCAGAGAGAGTAGAAACGGCCTCCCCAGGGGGCGATATATCCGAGCGATGTCAAGGCCACCAAGCCAGCAAGCGCAAGACCGAAGGTCGCAGCCAGGAAGGTGTAGACAAAGGTCTGGAACTGGCGACTGGGGATAGCACCTCTAACGTAGTCGATAAAGGCAACGAGCTGCAGGAAGCCAAAGACGCCTAGCGTGTGTTAGTTCACATGGATACAAAGCTCTCACGTCTCACTTACCGAGAGCAGGCATGTGCTCGCTGGTCTTGACAGGCAGGAAGCCCACGAAGGGGATCTGCATGCTAGCCAATGTACCCAGAGCATACCAAGTGGTGTAGCTAACGTAGAGACGGGCGCTGTATCTACCCATGAGGATCAAGGTCAAAGCATGCAGAGGAAGCATGTTGGTGATGAAGGCGTAGCCACCCCAGGAGGCGACCATGTAGCCGTAGAAAAGGGCGCAAAGAGCACCCCAGAGCATGGAGCCCAGCTTCAATGCCTTGATCCACAGGTAGAAGGTGAAGACAAGAAGGAAAATGGCGATGGCCTCGTTGTCATAACTGCCGGCAACTGATCGGGAGATGTAACCAGGCGAGATGCCCATGAAGGCAGCCGCAAGCAGACCAGCCGAGGGCGAAGTGGTCATCTCATTGGTAAGAAGGTAGGCGGCATAGGCGGTAAGGCCGGAGAAAGCTGGCGCCAGAAGAACGCAGATGTTGCGGATATCAACGGGGACCGTAAGAGCTCGAAGTGCGTGGTAGATGGCGCCGCTGGTCACCATGAGACCGGGGTAAAGAGTTCCTCCAGTAACCCGACCGAGAGGATGCCATGTCCGATCATCGAACCAGTCCCAGAACTTGGTGAATCCATTGGCCACAAGGTACTTGGTTGCTCTGAAGTTGAACCAGGGGTCGACTGATGAATGATTAGTTTCGGGTACGGAGGAAGGGACGTAGAACGGAAAGAGACCAACATTCGTGAATGATACTCTCGAAGCCTGTAAAAGTTGAGTCAGCGTGCTTTCTTTGCAGCGAGAAGCATTGCGATGAGCGCCTTCCTTTCCAACCTATCCAAACACCAATTGGTGTTGGTGATGGCAGGAAGGAGACCCTTGGCAACGTGTTCGAGGGGCACTTACGAATGACGGAGAAGAGACGACTGGCAACAGCGGCAGCTGCGATCAGAGACAGAATGGTGACTCTGAGGACAGTTCGTGTGTTCTCTTTGCTGCCTCCGGAGAGGGGTCCAAGAGATTGGGCCGTCATTGTGGCCGCGTTTGGTGTAGAAAGGCAGTGGCCGTGTAGGTTGAAGGTTGCGAAATGGAGCTGGCGACGACAACCTTCTGTCTCACAGCAAGGTATCTGAGAAGGACAGCTTGGAGCTTATGCACCTGAATCGGTGGTGCAGGGGCAGCGTGCACGGTCCATGGAGAGCCGACCCGTTCAGTGGTGTGTCCCGTTGACAGCAGCCAAGTCGTGGCTTCCGCGTAAGTCTGGCAAAGGTGGAGTCACGTGCCTCGGACAAAGAATGTCCCGGGCTAAGGGATCCCGTCCCGTCCGGGGTGACCGGGTCAGTGCCGGATCCCGGCCTCGAGGGTAGATGGCGTATGTGGTCCATACCCTTTTGTAAGAGACGCATTATGCATAACAAGCAATAAAGATGCTCAGTCCATCGTTCCAGCTTTGAGGTATTCTATAGAAATATCTTAGAAGTTGATGAAAGACCATACAGCACCGTACTGTTAGAGATGTACGCGTATCAAACGAGTCATCTAATCTGTGTCACGAGCAAAAGCCTCCAACTGGCTGCCCATGTTGTACCTCGATGAACAAAAGCCGCAGGATTTTGATATTATGGTTCAGCCAGCCCATTTGGATCTACAACAACCTTCCACGCGCTGGAAGCAATTGCCGCAGCGTCAGGGCAAGCACTGATTTGTTGAATTGCAGACCACAATGAATCAATGTCAAGGCATGTAGATCCCGCTCAGGTTCGGGGAATGGGGAGTTGATGCGCGAGAAATATAAGCAATTGATGGAATCCAATGGCTCGTTCCTTGGAATTGTCATCTAGTTGAGCGTATTGTACACATGTACATCCGGTAAACAGACGTAAGGAAATGTCTATGCGGTGACATCGGGCGTGGTGCCTACCATGCACCTACTGCTGCCGAAAGACCAGATTATTCGTCCCTTGCTAGGACTCTTCGTGTTCTCCGTGAGCAGGCGTATCCCCAATCCTGACCCTGTCTATCCGTTGTGCAAGCCGTCCCCTCCCCCCATTCGGTTATCCAGTCTACGGGTTCTGCTTCACCAGGTTGTTGAAGTAGGCCTCAAGGTCGAACTTGGGATCCATCGGGTCGACGTTGGCTGTGGCAGATGTCAGTTTTCATGAGTTCTATGTGAGCCGCCGACGAGGGCGAGAAGTGACGGGCGAGGACTACGACGTCCAAAAGTCGGCCACGTCTAATCGAGGGAGAAACGCACCACCGGCATCAGCAGCCGCCGCTGTGACGGGCTGGTTCTTCTTCGCGAACTCGGCCTTTGCTTGGTCGATCAACTTCTGCTTGCGCTCGTACTCCTTCGTGGCGGCGGCGGCCTTCTGGCTTGCTGTAATCGTTCGCTGATGTGTGAAGCCGTAGAACACGCCCAGGCCAAGGGCCGTGTATCTCAGCACCTATAAAATCCATCAATCAGCCGGGCTGCTCATAATCTCGAAAGCGCAAGCTCAATGCTCATGGTCGATTGGAGTGGCGATGAAGGGTCGTCGTTCGGCTTAGGGAGATAAGGTGGCTGGGTGCTCCGCAAGATGCGGACGAAGGCGAAGGACACGACGTACGTTAACTCCTGAGGAGGAAGACATTGTGGGCAATTGCCTGGATTGCGCGACTGCTTTCGAGAGGGAGCGAACGATGGAAAGGACAGTGCGCGGGTTGACAATGGCTGCCAATTGACCCTTTCGGAGCTCTGTCGAGGGAATTACGTTAGGGGACGCAGGGTGTGAGGTTTTCCAGGTTGAAAATATGCTCGGGAAAACTCGCAGATTTTCCACTGGTTGGCCGTCAAGTCACTCCCGGGCGTCTGGAGCTCGGACGGGGAACACCATCCCAGCGCCAGTGCTGATGGCCCGCCTGTTGCCAGCGCCCAGCGCCGTCGCCATCCAATGCTGACTGAGGTGGGCTGCCCGGAAGCTTGCACCCAGGCGCTGTGCCGCTGAGGGACCTTTCTTACCTCAGCGACCGAATAAGGTACCGTATACAATTTTGCCGACCCTTTGCCGATCTGTCGCAATCACGTGCGTCATTTGCCTTGCAAGGTTAGTTCTTCTTGGTGGAAATGTCCACCAAGCTACTAGCAAATGGGGGCCGGGAGGTCAACTTTAATGCAGGGGCCAACGAGGTATCTTTCTGCAGCATTTGGGCTGAAGCTGTACCTGACTCCAAACAGGGGTCCCTCTGGAATCGCGACTGGCCAAAGCGCATGGAAAGGGAATCCCCATCAAACCGAACGTCGCTGCGGTTGCCAAACACTGTCACAGGCATCCGACATCGTCAACAAAAAAAGGCGGCTCCTACTTGACCTTCCTGCACCCGGCTCTCGGCCTCACCTGCGATCCCTCGACTCTACTTACCTGATTCTGCAACGTCAGTGTCTGTCTGCCCCGCGACATACCTACCCACAGAGTCAGCCAGTCCCGCGATGGGATTAAGGAGAAGGCAAAATGCAACAGCGACGAGATGAAATCCTCGCAAAGAAGGCTAAGCTCGCGGAGCTTAAGCGACAGAGGGAGCTTCGTGCAACTCAGGCAACAGCAAGCCGACAAAGTGCAGGAAGCCCAGGCGATGTGAGATGAACCGGTTCCTTTACCGACGCAGTCTGCTGATGTGCTGTCTAGCTGGTCTCACCCATCCCAGGCCGAGCCGAGAACCGCCGCGACATCGAAACCTTGATCAATAGCTTGGTGGGAGAAAGTCGACCTGGATCGACGACCGGAGGGGCTGCGTCACCGGCCCGTAGGGGAAGCCGGCCCAACAGCGTCCTCAGCGCAGGAGAGTTGAGTACTGCAACATCGGAATTTGCAACCCCCGCCAATGGCCAACCAACTCCGGCCCCAGCTCCTGTCGCAACCCCCGTGCAGCTGAGTCTGACGACGGCACCGCTCACGACTATCTACGAAGTCCCTCCATCTCCTGTCAAGGAAGTGCACTCATACAGCAAGGGAGTGCAAACGGCGGAAGCATGGACTTCGCCAACCCGACCTAGAGCCCAGTCACTCTCCGACACCGAAGACATCCCTCCTATCACATCGACGCCCAGTAAGAGGCTGAGCCGAAGGCAGCGGGATCGCGAAGAAGAGCTGCGACAGGACATCCGGAAGGAGGTGGAAGAGGAGCTCAAGGCCTCGCTGGATTTGCTCAAGGATGGTGTCATTCCGAGCGACACCCCGGCGAAGGCGAATTATCCCATGCGCAAGCTTACCGCCGAGGAGTTGGAAGCCGTTACTGGCGCCCCCGACTTTTCTGAATTCTTAGAGAAATCTACGAAGGTGATCGAGAGAGCTCTTGATCAGGAGTACGATATTCTCACAGATTACGCCCTCCAAGGTCAAGATGTGGATGATGATGACGATGATAGCGGCAACGTTGGTGGCAAAGGTCGGCGGAGAGTCAAGGAGGTGGCCCAGTTCTTCGATGAAAGATGGTCGAAGAAACGCATGATCAGCAGCATCGACTTCTCACATCATCATTCTGAGCTGATGCTGGCATCGTACACCAAAAACCCAACTGCACCACACGAGCCTGATGGTCTGGTCCAAGTCTGGAGCTTGGCTCTGCGTGATAGACCAGAGTATGTTTTTCACGCACAGTCTGATGTTCTCACAGCGAAATTCTCCCCTTACCACCAAAACCTCATCATTGGTGGCACTTACAGCGGCCAAGTACTGTTGTGGGATATGAGAGCAAAATCGGCACCCGTCCAGAAGACGCCACTTACAGGATATGGCCATACGCACCCCATTTATTCGGTCGATATCGTGGGTACTCAAAATGCCAATAACATCATTTCAACTTCTACGGACGGTGTGGTCTGCGGCTGGAGCATGGACGTCTTTGCCCAACCGCAAGAGCTGTTGGAGCTGAAGGCACCGCCGGGTTACAAGTTGGACGATATCAGCCCGACCTCTTTAGCGTTTCCCCAAACAGATCCTACGTTTTTCCTCGTAGGTAGTGAGGAAGGCACTATTTTCCCTTGCCACAGATACGACCGAGCTGGCGCAAAGGCTGGAGTCGATGCTCGTGTCAGCTACAAGGGACACACGGCACCGGTCATGTCGGTGGACTTCCATCCTGCCCGTGGTCCGGTGGACCTCGGTGATTTGGTTCTCTCATCTTCTCTCGACTGGAGCGTCAGACTGTGGAAGGTTCGCGCACCCGCGGCGACATCGACAGCAGGTGTCGAGCCGACGGTCTCACCACTCATCGACTTTGTGCGAGAGGACGTAGTGTATGATGCACAATGGTCGCCGATCAAGCCCAGCGTTTTCGCCCTGGTTGACGGGGCAGGCTGGCTGGAGCTATGGGACATCACGGTGGAGACTGAGGAGCCTGTCGCGAGAATATCCCCGAGCTCTCGTAAGGATGGTAGAACGATGCTTGCCAAGAGCTTGAACAAGGTTGTGTGGGAGCCTTCTGAGGGCAAGCGTCTGGCTACGGGAGGTATTGACGGAGTCTTGACCGTGTTCGAGGTGGCCTCTGGTCTGGGCGGACGAGACGACCTTAAAGCGGAGGAGTGGACGAACGTGAAGAAGCTGGTCAATAGGGTTGAGGCTCACGGTTTGAACGGAGCGATGGTGTAGAAGCCAACTTCTCTTCATGTACCTTCTGGGGCGAGAGCCACTATATTCGATTTGTTGGTAAAAGGCGCGTTGCTGTATACCCTGATACCGTGTTATTGTTGAGCCTCATAATCTACTTCCTGAAGACTACTATTCTTTGCGCCGTCCACTGACTGAATCTGCCGTGATACTCATTATGTAGTATATAAGAGCCATCATTTTGAGCTATCCGTCATGTAAGTGGAAACCGAGAGCATCCACCATCTCGGTTGACCGCCCAGGAATTGAGGATAGTTTGCTTAGTCATCAGATACATATATCTTTTTGCCCAGACAAGAACTTTTTTTTCGACACTGCATCCATCTCACCCAAGTCCAACAACCATAATTTTGCAAAGCCGTCAACTTAGGACTACAGATGGTAAGTTACAACGTGATATTTCTTATTGCTTTTGATACCCAATGGCACAATGATGATCAAAAAAGAATTCTGCAATTCTGAAGACCTCCGGGTCGTTCTGTGGATAAAATCTTCGCCTTACTAGCAACACTGAGCCCGCTCCTCGAAGCTTTTCTTTATTCAATACGTTCAGGCTACGTTTAGGGAAATGTCAAGCTAACGTTTGGAACAAAAGATTTGACTAGATTTTGGATAGCCTTTCTATATACGGCTTCGCTCAATGTCTTAGGTGTTGACGGGAGCGCCGTCGGGGTAACGGCCACCCGCGACCTCGAATTTGGCCAGCGTCGCGTCAATCTCTGCCATCTCCTCCTCGGTGAGTTCAACCAGCTTCGCATTCTCCGTGACCCTCGCCGCCGTCGTGGCACCCGGGATGGGGATGATCTCGGGTACGTCGGGCCTCTTGGAGAGGGCGACGACCCAGCCGATGGCGAGCTGGGCGGGCGTGACGCCCTTCTTCTTGGCCAAGGCTTGCACCTGCTCGACGAGCTTCATGTTGATACCGAACGTGTCGGGCTGGAAGCGGGGCATGTGCCGCCTCATGTCGCCCTGGGGAATGTCGTCGAGCGACTTGACCTCGCCCGTGAGCATGCCGCGGCCGATGGGCGAGTAGGCGATGATGGGGATGCCGTACTGCGCGCACGCGGCGGCGACGCCGTTGGTTAGAGGTTCGGTGGAGAATAAGCTGAGCTCGACCTCGACGCCGACAATCTTGGCCACCTTGACGGCCTCGTGGATGGTAGCCGCCGAGACTTCGGAGAGGGTGATGCCGCCGACTTTGCCCGTGTCAATGTACTCTTTTTGAATGACGCCGAACGTGACCTCGAGGGGCGTGTTCTTGTCCCGCCGCGCGCACTCGAAGATGTCCACCTTTTTCCGGCCCCCAAGCTGGGAGAGGATCTTGTCGAGGGAGCGGCGGACGTTCTCAGGCGAGCCGTCGGGCTTCAGCTGCGGGAGGATGAGGCCGCCCTTCATGCTCAGGACGACCTTGTCGGCGTCCTCGGGGTACTTTGTGAAGTAGCGCTCTAGGAGGGTGCTGCTGTTGTACTCTGGCGTTCCGTAGAACTCTCCGCCGTTCCAAAAGTTGTTGCCGTTCGCGAGGGCGGTGCGCATGGCTTCGAAGGCTTGCTCCTCTGAGCAGGGCTGGGGTCGCCACGTGAGGCCCATGAGGCCGTAGCCGATCTGGCCAACGTCTTGTCCGTTGAGCTTAGGCATGTTTGAGGCTGCTTTGTTGGCGATGCTTGTGAGAGAATGTGTAAAAATGAGATGCCGCTTCCAGTTTTGCTGAATAATTCCTGAGGCTTGAGCTGCGGGGTATAGGTGCTGTTATCGAGCTATCGAGATGTAGTGGATATCGAGACTCGAGAGTGATGTCCAGGAAACCTAATCTCCAGACGAAGACGTGGGGTTTCTACCGTTTATATAATAGTATTGAAGGCTTCGAGATGATATCACCAGTGTCACCGGAAAAGAGGAGAAGGGAGCTCAGAATTGCTTCGTACCTATCCCCATGTGCAAATGGTAAAACGGTTTCCCGCTTTCACGGAGCAGTCCTACCTAAGGTACCTACCTACCTACCTACCTTCAATGACGAATTCGCGGAGACCGAAATGCTTTACAACCCCGCCATAGCACCAAAGCACTTCCTTCCACGGCAGATACGTTGCCAGTTGCCAAAGTGCAGTGTGGGGGTGCAGTAAGTCGTTTGCGCAGGTACCGTACACTGGACGAATGCCTGCCTTGGCACGCTTTCATTCGCTGGAGTCTGTACGGGGTTAAGAACCAGTGAACGGATTTAGCATCTACCACAATCCTCGATTCCCGATCGGTCGGAAATGTGAGAAGTTCGCTGCGTCTTGGAAGCCCGTAGCTGGACTTTAGCCGCTTACATTATCAATCTGAACCGTTGAACGTAACCCCCCCCCCCCCGTCCGATGGACATGCTGTCAGACGCTTATATTCTTTCCCGCGTGGAAGTCGTACGGATGCAGCCAAGCTACCTTGCTCATTCGACCTTGTTTCAAAGGGATGCCGTTGGGCGGTGCATTACAACGTAACGGAGATCGTGCAAGTCCGGCTTCAATACTGGGAATAGGAGGATGAAGTATCGGAAAACCCAAACATGGATCCAGTCCTTATCACCGGTTACCCTTGGGCCTTTTCTGCACTGAAGCAAGTCAAACGCCGGGCTCGGCAAGCTTACAAGCAAGCTTGACAATGGCTTCCAGCAATTGCGCCGCGGATGGCCGACACCAGGAACAGAGTGATCTCCGGCATTGGATATTCCATACAGTATCTTATCTTCACATAAGATGGCTCTTGGAAAAGGAGTATATCAAATTGCATTGCATTGACCGTGCAGTTCATCAATCCTCCACTTCCTAATCAACAAAGAACATTACACACTACAGACATGTCGACCCAAGGTAGGATTAGATATCAACAAGCTTCTCAACAACCTCGTCAAGCTGCTGAATCCCCATCGTCTGACTCTGCACTCGCCCTACGCCCAATTGCTTCTTACTGCCAACAGCAACAACAGGAGACATCATTGTCGCCTGCGCCCTCTCGATCCCAAACTGCACGCCTCGAAGCTCCCTCGCCATCTTCCTCTCAACCTTTCCCGGCTTTACCTTAGTAGCCTTCCTCGACGACTCGAGAGGCGGCGGAGCAACGTTGACGACACCTAGTGCCGTTCGACAGAGGCTGTTCTTCTTCAGACCGGGGGCAACAGTGGCAACAGCAAAGATGCGGGGGTCAATGGTCCCTTCAGCAGGCAAGCCGGCCTGCTTGCGCCACCAGGACGGCAGCTCCGTCAGGTTAACGTCCGCGAGCCCCTCGAGCGTTAGGGGCATCTGGTGCGTGTAACGGCACTCGTTGCCCCAGCTACACTGGCCCGTCTGGCACCAGTGCCGGCAGAGGCTACCGTCCGGCCGTACCACCTTTTGCTTTCCGGCGGTGGGCTTGGGAGGAGTAGGCTTCGGGGCTCCGGCGGCGATACCGGTGCTGGTGCTACCGTCGCTGCTGTGAGAAGACGCCGCTGCCATTGTCTTCAGGGCCTGGGCAGGATGGTGATGGTGGTTACGGGCGGCGGCCTGCTGCTGGACGCGGCCGAGCTCAAGCATACGCTCCGCGATCTCGGCGTCCGATTTCTCCTTGATGGCGCCCGTGGCCGGGGTCGGGGCTCGCTGAGGAGGTTTTTGTTTGTTTCTGGAGCTAGAGGAGGACTTTGACGAGGAGTCTAGCGCAGAGAGCTCCGCGGAGGAGAAGTCGTCTGTCGAGACCGACTCTGTATCGTCTTCAGCCCAGTCGAGGACCCGGGGTGGGAGAGGAGGAGGAGGAGCGAGAAGAGGGACGTTGCCCAATGCTTTGGGAGTTGGCTGCGAGGCAGCTAACTTTGAAGATACACCGACACCGCTGCCCTTTGCAATATGAGGCTGTTTGCCAGTTCCGTGGCTGATCTTTGCAGCGTCAGGTCCAGGCCGCTGAGGTTTGAGATGGCAACCAGAATCCGGGCTCTCGGGACCTTCAGTGGAATGATCATGCGCTGGGGACACGAATTGTAGCTGAAGATGACCTTGCGGCTTGGCGAACGTGCCCAGGTTCGACATGCCGGTGGTGTCGTTGATAGCCAGCATACGCGACAGGCCGACGATGGTCACATAGTCTGGGAGCAGGTCGACTGGTATGACAGGTACGATGGCCCCGGGGCTGCCCTCGCGAACGATGAAGTGCGTCGGTCGTATCTGAGGGCCATCGTCTGCTTGGGGGCTGTGAATCGAGTGAGATAGGCCCTTCTTGGTGTTGTTGCCAGGGGCCGTGTTGAAAGCATTGGCGTTGGTGACTTTGGGCGGCATGGTTGGGCATGCGCTGATTCTGAGGAACTTACGGGTTTCAATCTGAATAACGGAAATATCACACTGTTTAAGATCAAGAGGTTACGAGACCGTGAAGCCATATTTCTGTTAGGAGCTCTGTCTTGTCTCATTCCCATCCTTCCGTTTGTTGCAATCTTCTGCTCGGCAGGATGCGTACATGCCCATGTCGCTTGTATAAACATATCAAACCGAATGACACGCAGTCTAGACACTACAAACAAAAGGCAATACGCAGTCTAGCAGCAATCGATATGCATTATCCCGCGAGACCACTGAAAGGGCTAAATCAAAAATTTTCATCTGTCTTCCACACGGATGTTGACATCCATTCCATCCACACAAAACCCCAACTGCCTCGGCCCATCCCTAAGCTCAACCTCTCTCTTGACCCATCTACCTCCTCTCGCCTCCTGCGCTCCAGCGGCGCCCTCACCACTCCTTCCGACAGCGTCCTCCTCGTCGCTGCTATCATCCGCATTCTCCTCGTCGTCGAACCCTCCAACGGGGTCCCATTCGCCAGTCTCCCACACCAGACGCAGCCTCAGGGGCTCCGTGCCAAACAGCCTTCCCGCGATACCCTTGACGGCGTATACGTCACACGATTTGGCGATCGCGGCCGTCTTGGTCAGTTGCTGTTCCCGGCCGCCACCTGGACGTGCTGTGACGTGGGTGAAGTGTACGGTGATCAGACGAGCCTCGAGGTAGGTAGGATTGATCTCGTCACGGCGAATAACGTCTGGCGCGCCGTATAGATTGCAGAGTTCTTTGTAGCGGGCATGTTGAGCGATAATCTCTGGTTCAGCGGCCTCGGGTACGGAAGCGAGCTGTCTGGCGATGCGGGAAAGGTAAAACATGTCTGCGTTCTCGCGGTCCTTGATCGAGATGGCTGTGAAGTTGAGGGCCTTCAGTGAGGCGAGGCGGCCGATGGTCACCATGTGCGCCTCGTCCGTCGACTTTGTCTGGTTATCGCCGCCGGCGGCATCCGGGTCGGGGCGGTCGTAGATTGGGTTGTGGGCGAAACGGAGAGCCGTGAGGCCCGGGAATGACGTGGGGAGGGCGTCTACAAAGGCCCAGCCTGCAACGGCGTTGTAGGATATGTCCAGATACTGTAGACTCGATGAAAATGTTGGGACGGGGCCGGAAGGAGAGGAGATGGTGGCGATGTTGTTGCCCTTGAGGTGGAGGTTGCGGAGAGACTCTAGGGGTGACAGAGCCGCGATGTCAGAGAAGGATGTGAATTCGTTGAACTCGAGATCCAAAGTTGTGAGCGTTGCGGCGAGCGATCCGAACGAGACGCTGGGCAGCACGGTCAACTGATTCAAGCTGCAGCTCCAGGTCTCGAGAGACGGGAATTTGCGAGCGAGACCGCAGAGCGCTTCCCAGTCCAGCAGTGTCTCCCCAAGCTCTAGCTCAGTGACCTTTGCAAAGGCCGACGTTTCTCCCGTCCCGATGACTCGGAAGCGGTTACCGCTGAGAAAATGTCAGTCAAAGCCGATCAAAAAAAACAACAACCGAGAAAAAGCCACAAAACGTACTTTAGTCTTAGACTTTTCAAGCCATCCAGCTCCTGACAGATCTTGATCACCTGGTCGAACTCCTCAAACAAATTCCTACTGAGATCCAGCTCAAAAATGAGGGGGCTCGTCTCCTTGATGCTCTTGTCCCCGTCCACAACGTCCAACTGGATGCGCGTGCCGTCGAGAATGACAATGGTCAAGTCCTCGACGCGTGCGAGCTGCCGGCGGATCTTGTCGAAGCCGACCTCCTCGGCAGGTTTCTTACCAAAGAATACGATCTGCTGAATCTCTGCCTCGCGCTTCGCGACGGCCTCGGAGGCATATTTGCCGTGCAACGCGGTCACGAAGCTCTGCGCGGCGTCGGCGCGGCGGGTTGGCCGCACGAATGAAGCGGCGGTGGGGGCTTTTGAGAGACCTGCGGACACAGTCAGAAACTCCATTGTCGACACAACTGTACAAGGGGAAATGAGCTAACATGGAAAGTATCGGACGTCTTTATGCTGGCCGTCATGTTTCCCGCGTCCGGTGTCGTCCCATTCTACGCCGAGCCAGCTGCCTGATGTGCCAGCGACGGGCCCTATGTAGCGAACAGTGCAAAGTGCATTATCGTAAGACAGGCGCTGACCAACGTAATTACTTGACGACATTTTATAACCCAGCAATCTGTCGTCACCGCTGGGATGTCCGAAGTGCTATGCGCATTTTTTGTGTAGTTGGTTCGATGCTCTGGCGGGCAGGCAGCAGAATGATTCACGAGATTCGAGTGAGTGAGCGAGTTCTTTCGCTGGAGCTGACCCTGAACGTCAAAATTGTTAGTGAGTGCAAGAGTGGTCATCAATACCAAGCACAACCATGGCAACAACCACACGACAGCGAAAGAGTCTCAAAGTGTTTTAACGTAATTTTATGACGTTATAGAATGCTGTGCTTAAATCTGAACTGTATGTTCCAAAAATTTCATCCAAAATGCATTATTTTACAACTTCGACTTGGGAGACTCCACAACCTTCAGCAGCGCGCGACCGTTGCTCAGAACGATCTTTCCGCCCTCCACCTTGGTCTGGAAGCGAACTTCTTCCCATCCATCCTTGACATCGCCTGTCCTCCAGGCATCTGTCACCAGCTTGTCGCCGGGCATGACGGGGCTGGCGAAGCGCGCCTGGTACTCCTTGATGTTGGCAGGGTCGCTGCCACCGAGGGCCTTCAGCAGACCGTGGGCGGTCGAGTTCCAGGAGTACAGTCCGTGCATGATAGCTCCAGGGAAGCCCATCTTCTTGCCAGGCTCAGGGGTCGCGTGCAGAGGATTGTAGTCTCCATTGAGGCGGTAGAGGAGCGCCGACTCCTTGTTTGTAGCCTGGGAGAAGGTGGCATCGGGCTTCTTGTCCTTCGGGGGAGGGAAGTTCTCGGTCGCGGGACCCTTGGGGCCGCCCCAGTTGCCCTGGGCGATGTAGAAGCTGCTAGTGATGACGCTGGCGTAGACCTCGTTGCTGGGAAGCTCTACCAGGTCGGTCTGGGTCTCAACGACGGAGCCGGGGCGGCCCTTGTCGTAAACACCGAGAACCTTGGTTCGGACTTCGAACTTCTTGCCGGCCGAAGTGGGGGGGATGGTCTTGTGAAGCACAATCTTGCGCTGGCCATCGACGACGCGGCGGGCGTCGAACGAAGGAACGTTGGGGATCTGGACGGCCTTCTGGGCGGCGTAGAAGTCGACTACCTCCTGGGTGTCGCCCTTGAATGCTGGCTCGTTGTTAGCTGGGTTGATCGCAGTATTCGACTGAGATGACGGAGCTCACTGAGAATGAGAGGGTAGGTAGGGAAGACGGCGAAGTTGGGGTGAAGCTCCTGTTGGCAAACGGTCAGTAATCAACAGCCATAAAAGTCAGATGAGAGGAGAAAACTTGCATAGAGGAAGTGAAGCTCGTCGTCGGTAGCACCAATAGTGTTCGCGAAGAGCAGCACATCGCGCTTTACCCAGGAAACGGGCTGGCGGGGGTACTCGAATCCAACACCGGGGCCGCTCATTGTGAAGTTTTCTGTAGGAATCTGTGTGATGTACAGCTAGCGATACAAAACGAGTCTGAATTGCAATTGGAAAAGAAAAGGCGGGGAGAAGTGAGCAGAGTTGCACCTCGGCCGAGCTCTGGGGAATTCGCGACGGTTTTAACAGGCGATGGCCAAGCTGCCCTCGGCGTAGCTGATGGTCAGCTAACCGGCCAGCTAACCGGACAGAGAGGGCAGCTCCAGTGGCAGTGAAACCCAGGGCCGCCAATGCCGAGGTTCAAATGTGGGGGTGGAGTTGCGCCATCTTGGGCTTTACCCCGGATCTCGACTTCGGGATCTACTGTATCAGGGCCGCCGATTTACAGGGCCTAGAGGATGCTAGTGTGGGCGATTCATCTCATTGTATCAGTAATCTGGGCTATCACGGCCCATGTTGTTGGAAAACCTCACTTGGCAGATTGGTAGAAGCCTCCGTTGCGATTTCCCTCAGGTACAACATCCCTTCGCTGCCGCTTAGCGTCGGAGGTCGGCAGGTGTCAACACCGACCACCTACCTTAGGGCGGGAGCTCTCGCAGGGTGGAAGGTGCCTTCCTTCACCGAACAGACGGGAGCTCCTTCCTTCACCTCAGCTGTAGATCCTTTCACCAACCTTTTCTTTCCGCGTCCACATCCTTGACCTGGCAAAAACGTCTAATTTGCACCGCCCAGACTATTTCGAGTCAAGCCAGCAACAATTGTACTATCACCCAAATCATTCCCATTTCGTCGCCGTGCTACTCGTGCAAGGTAAGCTTACACGAAGACACGATGGCGCCCCCGAAAGCCGCCCAGCCACAGAAGGGTCGAGATTGCGACTTGGCCAAGCCCTTCGACAAAGACACTCGAAGAATCTTGCAAAAGACCGTCGCCGACCTGATGCGCAAGAGAGGCCAGATTAACAGCAAGATGACGATGGCATTGGAGCGTCCCAGTCAGTCTAGCGATGCCCAGTATCAGCAAGACTTCCTAATTCAGCTCTCACTCCGCGAGAAGGCCAAAGAGAGAAAGTTCATCCGCCGTCAGACCAAAGTCCTGGATGGCAGACAGAAGATGCTGGACATGGATCCTTCGGGCGCTAGAGAGAGGGATGTCGACCTACTCAAAAGCCTTCTGTCGAAACTGAGAGACGGAGACGAATCTAGCACCTCAAGCGAGGGACTCAAGCACATATCAAAGGACGGCGACATTTCTTCCGTTGACTGGGACACTGAAGATTCGGAAGACGACAATGACGATTACCACAGCGCTCTCGAGAATGATCTGAGTGCTAGTCCTCTTGTGCCGGATGCTATCAGCACCATGTCCTAGAAGGACAAGGATGTCGCGGTGATTGGCAGTACTAAGAAGGAGAAGCGAAAGCGCGACGATGATACCCCCCAATCCTCCAAGAAGTTGAACAACGGTCATTTAGACGAGGATACCCAGCTACAGGGAGAAAAGGCTCAACATGACGGTGACAGCAAGCGCAAGAAGAAGCACAAAAAGTCCAAGAGCATCTCACTCAACGAGATGAGTACCGAGGACCAACGCGATATCCCGAAGGCCACTTCACACAGCATCACAACCAATGACGTCGAGCATGCCGAGGACACTGACTCTGGTGCTGATGTCGCCAAGGGGCTGAAGAAGACTAAGAAGAAGTCCAAGTCCAAGTCCAAGTCCAAGTCGGCTACAGCTCGTCCCATCGAGCACGGAAACGAAGCTGATGTTAGCGAGGCTTCACCTGTTTACCAGAAGGCCGAGGGCCAGAAGAACGCATCTGCGTCTACTGTCGAGGTGAAGGGAAAGAAGCATAAGAACAAGAAGTCTCGTTCCAGTGCTGTGGCTGATATCGACAAAGAAGAGCAAGACCGCAGTTCCGAGGTCGTTCCAACTCAAGAAGTGTTCGAGAAGAAGGACACGTCTGTTCTCGCTAACGCGGCCAAGAACGACAAGAGAAAGAAGAGGCAGAAGACCAAGCATGCAAAGTTTGCCCATGCTATTACAGTCATCGACGACGTCAAGGAACACGAGCAGCTGAATGTAGCTGAAGCTAGCCCTGGGGGTGAGGACGCCAAGGACGGCGAGGTACCCAAGAAATGCAAGAAACCCGAGAAGGCGGGACACATTTTGGACAATGTTGTCGCCAAGGAGGACAAGACCAATACTGAGCGAGACACACCGGTTCACAATGCAAAGGTCGCTGAGCCCACGATCATCGAGGGAAAGAAGAAACAGAAGCTTCGAAGCAAGTCGCTCTCAATCGCCGAGAAGGATGAACAGTCCGCCACGCCGGACAGGATCAAGGATACCAAGACCTCTATCGACGACCCCCAGAAGGTGACATCGTCCCCCAGTACAGCGTTGAAGGGACCTACTCGCATCCCTGTTCCAGCCACTCCGGACAATCGGGGATCTTTCATTCGCTCAGCTGGTCGTACGCCTTTTAACCCCTTCTTGAACTTGAAGCCGCACAGCGTTCAGCATCCCGCGCCTAGCTTCGTTCCTGAAAAGTCACCGAAATCTCCGGGTGGCCAGGTCTGGGTTCTTGACACTACTGGATCGCGCAAGCAGAACAAGAATCATGAGGACGACGCGAAGAGCGTGACCATGACCATTGGCAAAGTTGACACCCCACACAAGTTCGATCAGGGTTCCCCGACGCCCCCTCCCAAGAAGGAGCAGAAGAAGCGAGGACGGCCCAAGAAGGTCAAGGAGCCTCTTGCCCCTGTGAGCCCTCACCGTGCGGGTTCCTCTGTCAAGGCAACAACACCACGTGCCCGTGCCAGTAGCGACCTTGTTGCGCTTCTGGGCAGCCCCAAGCGAGCCAAGAAGCTCCAGAAGGTGCTCAAGGAAGATAAGGCGATGCTCGAGCAAGAGAAGAAGAGCTGGTACAAGGCAGTGGGCTTGGATTACGAGGGCTAAGTATTGTTCGCCAATCTCTGGATGTAAATTGTATTGGCTCGCAGTATTGCGCAACGAGCACTGTCACAGAGTTAGATATCAACAGAATGCGCCTGAGGAAGTCTGCGAGGTTACTTTCTAAGTGTATCAATAGGAGATGAGGGCAATTCAAGACATATCACTTATGACGTCTACCGTGTGACGATGCACTGCTGAATACTGACGTAGCCTCGATGTGGATATAAGAAATTTCATTTCACCACTCGGCCATTTCGCGAGGCCAGAGTCTCATGTTATTGTACAAATAGTGTGGATCCGTACATCGCCCAGAATCCAATCTGCGGCTTCAACCGTTGATAAAACATAGGAAACCCCACTCGTTAAAAACGTCCCTTGTTGCGGTCACACTCCTCCAGGAATCTGTAGATGCCCTCAAGCCCCTCATATCCATCAGAGCAGTCATCACTGGTCTTTGGGGTGGGCGATAAGCTTTCATATCCCTCTGGGTCTGACATCCAAGAGTGCTCTTCCATCTCATCCATGAACGCCTCTTCCAAGTCGACATCGATGCCGGAAAGTGACCGCAGTGAACCGCCGGGCGAAGTAATGGTCTTAACATCGTCGCCAGGGGCGTATGGGAATTGAAGCGCCATCGGGACGCCGTTTTCGATTTCAAAATCGGCGTCTTGGCCCACAATGCCTCGTTGAACGCCAGCATCATCGCACAGTCGCTCAACGGTCTCGGCGTCAACTCCAGGGAATCGCACCCGAAGCACATTTTTCTTTTCCATTGTGATTGGCAAATCGCCCAACACGGCAAGCCTCTTCAGGTCTGCGAAAACGACAGCGAGGTCCTTGAGAGCGCGAGCAAAGTCGATGGACAGGACGTCGAGGAAGCCATCCTCGTTGAGGGTGGTGGGGGGGGCCTCGGCGTTAGCGGAGGTGAAACCCGCAGCGGCGGCGGCAGCCAGGGGGCTGAGGGCCGTGACGGTGGGGCTGATGTGGAAGTCGACGAAGGAGCCGGGGTTCCCGCGGGCGGCGGCCCCCATCATCTTGACGTACGCGGCCTGCTCGAGCTCCGAAACGGCGCGGTAGCGCTTGTCGCCGCGGGCGTTGAGACCGTCGTAGCGCACCTTTTGGCCAGAGAGGCAGAAGGCGCGCATCGCGACGGAGACGTTCTGGATCACCTGCGCGGGCGCGGCAGGCGTGTGGGAGAAGTAGCGGGCCCCGCCGCCGACGCTGTAGCCGCCCTGGGTGCGGGCGATGGCGCCGCCGGTGAGGTTCGGTCGGAGCGTGCTCGCAAAGGGCGCGCGGCCGGTCATCTGGCTCACGCGGCGAGATGTGTTTGAGCTCGGGAACGATGCCCGGCTGAAGCGTGCGCTGCTACCGCCGGGGTTACCGCTCGTGGAGATCCATCGGCGAACGGTGTTGTTGATGCTCTGGGTCGAGTACCAGCGTCCCGCGCGCTTCTGTCTGAGGAGAGCGGCCGGGTGGATGGGCTGTCGGCCAGTCGGCGTCGTGCGAATGGGAATGTGTGCGAGCTCGCCCTGGACGCCTGGGCGGGTTGCGTTTGCGAGTTTGGTTCGTATCATCTTTGTCGTTCTGGTGATGCCCACGCGGAGGAGGCGTAGGGCTGCTGGAGCCCATATACCCCCCGCGGCAGACATTTTGGCGGGTTTGTTTGGAGTGACTCCTAAGAGATCACGACCGGTGAAAGAGACGTCAAGGTTGAGTCGAACAGTGTCGTGCCTGGAGCTATGTCCTTGGGAAAGGTGGGAGACCTGGGGGAGGACGGGAGATCGCGGGGAGCACTTATAAGGAGGGAGGCGATAAGATAGACTTCGCCACCTGAGGTTGTCAGCACAGATTCCCGAAAGCACCGCCACAGGCATGCCAGTGGACAAAACCCCGCTAGTCCAAGATTGGCTAGCGCATTCTCGCGAGGTAAGACCCCCACTCTGGACTTTTTTTCTTTTCCTTTAAATTTTCCTCGAAGCTCTTCCAATTGCTGCCGACTTCTCTTTTCCTTACTCAACAAGGTCAATCACCAAGACCTCTCGCCCTCTGCCTGCCATTGCGCAAACGCCAGTTTGGCGCGCGCATGGCAGGCATTGGGAATTCTTCCAATTGGTAAGTTTATCTTCTTCGTCTCATGAGAGTTCACCTGGTTTCTTTTGTCTTTTTGCATGATGATTGGAAACAACATTGAACAATCCAAATCAGACCTATTTCCATGGTGTGACACTTTTCTTTAGAACTGAGCAAATTCTTGCGCAGCTTCCGTTCTTTTCGCGTCTATGAAGTTGTGGGACCAAAGCTAACGCGCAACAGAATTTTCTCTTCAGAATCTTCAATCGCTTCAAATTTTGAGGCCCTTGCTTTTGGCACTATTTTCAAAAGGTTCGTTTGCACTTTTCCTTCTCTTCAGCCCCTCTTGCCCCTTCGCCTCTATATGATGAACACTTCGTACACCATAGGGATTCCTCATGCAGAATACATAATGTTGAATCCGGTGCAATAGTTTCAGCCTTGTCTGATCTAGAGCCAAAACCTCATCTTCTTTTGCTCGTATCTATCCCGGTAGCACTCAAGCTAACATAAGTCGGATAGGTAAATACATCTTCTCCCAGGCTCCGCCTCCATGCTTTCCTTCCCCCCACAAGCAAATACCACAATGAGGAAGATTTGAACGAACGGGCGGACATAAACGAACCTCGACGCCCCTCGCCAGAAACAAACGGAGCGTACAAACTCTGTGGTGTTGGGTGTCGGGGCTTCTTGTTGAGATCGATCGTCAACTGATCGTGGTTACCAATTGTTGCTTGGGTTCAAGGGTCCCTTCTCTGAGTCCGCGCGCAGAAAAGGGGCCCTTTGAAAGCTTGCGTTATCTGGTTGAGACTGGCAATGCTGACTGTTCTCGACACAGGTAAACACGTTTTTCTCTCTTCTGCTGCCAAGGCAGCGACCGTGTTCAGTCTCTCGATACTATGATGAGTTGATCAAGTATTCACACTGTTTGACTGGCGCTCACCTCGGTGTTTGCTGGACATGAACGTAATTAACACTTTCTGATATTGAGGTAATTTAAGCCCTCATCTCACATCATTTGGACACCATCACTAACTGCTCACAGACTGTTCGCTTGGTGTTTGCTTCATACTTGCCTGACAAGCCGCTAACCCGCGACATAGGTAATTTGCTTGTACTGATGTTTCTCCTTTTGCTATGATACCCGAATGGTAGGTCTACAAATTTTTCTTATCTTTTTGCCTTGCAAGCGCAATCCACCCCCGTCTCACGGATGACCTTTTATTAGCTCTAGTACTGAATATCATGAAAGAGAAAACATAAACCGATTCACCTTGGAGAACTGATCGAGACATGTCATTTTTACATTTTGGTTTTGCAATTTCTTTTTAGCAGAACATTTCGCTAACTTGACAACTTCTAGACAACCTGGACTCTTGAGTGAGACCTGATCTACCTTCCATAGTTTGATGACTTGATAATAATAAGAAATAATATTCTCATCACAATATCTTTTTCTGACGCTTCGCTTTCTGATCGTGTAATGATGATGCTTTGCCTCCCTTGATATCCACAACCCTTGCGCCAGTCTCCAGTCGCACGCTCCGGCCCAGACACACCTAGTGCTTGAGCTGCAGACGCGCGTTCATGCCCACGATACACCTGATCAAATCCCAGTCGCCGTGCGCGCCAACCCAGTCCGTGACAATGATGCCCGTCGCCGCGTCGCCGACGTTGAGCTGATGCGGGCCTTTGCCCGGCTCGCCGTGGCGTATGCAGAGATACTCTATGACGGCCGGGTTTACTTTCGCGGCGATGCGCTCCGGCCAGCAGGTGGCGTTGAAGAAGTTGCTCGCGCTCAAGAAATTGACGAAGAAGGGCAGCGGCGGTGCGTCGGCGTTGAAGTCGGGCATGCCGGGGAGGTGGAAGAGTTGCTCGGCGGCGCGCTCGAGCTGGCCGTGGGAGAAGTTGATCTTCTTCTCGACGTTTGTCGACTGGTCGATTTCGTAAAAGTCCTGGACGCGGATGAGGCCGCCGCCGACGGTGCCGTCCTCGCAGTTGTCGGGCCAGTTCTGGGCGTCAATGGCCCAGCCGCGGCCGTCGTGCTCGCCGCGTAGGGGTTCGTCGAGGCCGAAGCGGCGGATGAGCACGATGCGGCCGCGGCAGTCGCCGAGGTGCGGGATGCGCGGCTCGACGAACCATCGGTGGGCGTCGCGGGCGACGTAGCGGTCGCGGAGGTAGCGGCTGAGCTGCTCGTCGTTGCCCTTGCCCGTGCCCTCGCGCTTGACGGACATGAGGACCGTCTCGGAGGGGTTGGCTTCCAGGTAGGCGTAGATGTCGGAGAGCATGTCGGCAAAGTACTTGTTGCCGGTCAGGGAGATGGGGAAGGCGGAGTGGACGAGCGCGAGGTCGTCGTTGTCCTGGGAGACGGAGACTCTGATGTCGAGGAAGCGGACGCCATTGTCGAGCTGCTCGCGGACGCCGACGGCCTGGCAGCGGACGGAGGGCAGCGCCGTGTAACACGTCGGCGAGTTGTGGGTGCCGGGGATGGAGAGGAGGGGCAGCGGGTATTCGTCGCGCAGCTCGTGCATCCAGGCATTGAGGTTTGCGGACGACATGATGGCGAGGAATGCGCCATTGGCCACGTAGACGGCCGTCAGCTCCAGAGGCGCATCGTCGAGCTTCTTCATGACGGAAGAGCGGTTGGTGGGGCTCGGGGCGTCGATCTCATAACGGTGGCCCTCGATTTCGAACTGGAGACGAACGACATCGTGGTTTCCAATGTCTGGTGCGCCAATCTCGGTGCCGCTGATGGCGAATGGCTCGACATGAACATCGACGTCTTCGGTCTGGTGGGCATCTCCCTTTGCGTGGGTCTCTTTGGTGGTGAAGTTGGTCGCGTTCATGAAGGAGCCAATGGTACCAAAGGTGTTGCCCAGGAAGTCTCCGGTGCGCTTCCTCTCACCCTCGAAGCGTTCGACACGCTTGATGGTGACTGGCAGGGCCGTGAGGTTGCGGATAGTGATGTTCGTCATGGCGGCGGTCTCGAGCAAGGGGGAGGAGGGGGAGGGGAGAAGAAGTGAGAAGCAGTTACCCATCGTGGAGGAGGATTTTCGCGGGGGTTTAGGGCCCCTCGGAGGGCTTCATGTACGCGTGTTCCGGGGTACAGAGCCGTCTTGGAAGGCTTGGGAGGGCCGTTACTTGCATGTAAAATGGGGCTCTTTTGGAGCTGCTGCTGGGCTGACCTACGGCCAAGGAAGGGCGTTGCAACGGTTGGCTGGGTGGGAATGAATGTCTCGTCGCGGGATGCAGGCCGAGTCGGCACGAACAAGGTACCGTCCCTACGGATAGGGACGGAGTAAGGTACTGAACGCAGTATGTTCAGCTCAGCTCGACCGGGGCTTCCTCACAGTCACAACAATGATTCAGGATCGGCAACACCGCAAGCAGCAAAGACGTCTTTGGTGCGATTGACGTCGCAATATGATGCGCCGTAGCGCTACTGGTCTGGAGTAGAGCTGGGCGTTAATGTCCTGAAACTGGACGTGATTCGCCAGCAGTGACAGACAGAAGCCGTTCTTGCAATTGGCGCCGCTTATTGGGCCGTTGGGAGCTGCCAGTTGCGTGTAAGAGCTGAACTCTGGGGTGTTCCTGGTTGTCCTGCAACCTACGCCACGAATTAGCTGGCACCTACCTCACCGTGTTGAGACTGACGGCGACAGTTCGGACCGAAGAGCAGCTGAAGTAAGGCAAGGTACCTTACAATGTGGGAAGCAAGGAGGGGCAGACCTGGAGCAGAGACAAAGTGGTCGGGGCCAGTTGTCCGTCTTGTCAGCCAAGGTTAGGTTAATCAAGATCTGGTGCTTAGAGTTAGCCGAGTCAAAAGAAGAGACGATTTAATTAGCCGCCAACTGAACGGGACGGGAAATAATAAGATAAGGTCACGTTTAGGTTCCCGCAGGGTGCACGTCCTCGGTCCTTCGGCTTACTCCTGGTGGATAACAACGGGCAGGGCGACCTATAACATCTCTTTCTCTCTTAATCCCTGAATTGAGGCACAGTCAAGATTAAATTTACGGTACCCGGTGATTGCCAATTCCAGTCTTCTTTCAACATCCTCTTGTACGAGTCTATTGAGAACCTCGGACTCTGCTGATCTCTATATTCGCTCCTCTATGTTGCCGAATGGTTCAGTTATTGCTGGTTCGGCTACTCGCTCTTCTCATTCCCTTCACCACATCTTCCTCCTTGCGAGATATAACTCTCGAACCACCGGCCGGGGAGAAAAGAAACGTTACCAGACCTCTCACTGACAGGCCCTTCACAGCTAATCCCAACTTGGAATCTCACCCGCCGCGCTCGTGTTCGTGGCATCAGACCCGGGCGGCGAGCCCCGGTCGAACTTCAAGGCCCCGGATGAAATTTCTCTACCCGCACTTCTGCCTATTTTCGCCAAGATTTCATACAAGGGAAAAAAGACTCATAAAGCGTGTCCTGAGGATTGTCATATACGTGTATAAGTAGTCATTGACCTCCTGATCTCCATCATATAATTGACGTCCTCTCGCCTCTCTGCCACACTTCATCGTGATCGTCTTCCTCCAAAACCTCACTTCCCTCTCATCTACTCCTCAAAATGGTCCACATCCCATCCACAGCCGCAGGCCTCGTCGCCCTCGCCGCCACGACAGTCGCCTCGGCAACCGCACCGAAGCTCAACACCTGGCCTCAGCATAACTACGGCGGCTGGTACAACCACACCGACGGCGACGTCACCACCTACGGCGCCCCCGAATTCCGCGACGCCGGCCCGCTGTCCATCCACAAGGCCAGCTTCTCCTTCCTCTTCAACGGCGCCGACCCGGCCTACGCCGGCCTCTACGTCCTGTCCTCGGGCGAGGACTTCATCACCGACTACGAGGTCGTCGGCCACGCCTGGGGCAGACCCTCCGTCACCGGCAAGGTGTGCGGCGCCAAGGGCAACTTCACCTTTGTGCAACTGTTCGGCCCCGACGGCCTGCCCAACACAAAAAGCACCACCGACACCATGTTCATTGACGTCAGCGCTGCCAGGAATAATGCCTCGCGGGCCGTCATCAACGAGGTCTGGCCCGTCTGGGTTGGAGACGACATCTTTTACCCGAACAACACCTCTCCTTGCCCGGCTCCTACCGCCAAGACCAAGAGGTGGTCTGCTTAGAAAGCCTTAAATGTTCGTTTTTGGAACACGAGGAGGACACTGAGATTGCAATTAGAGAAGAGGCCAGTAGATTATTGAGGGAGACAAGCCAGGCAAGAGATGGTGGTCAGGAAACAAGAGATAAGGACGAATTTAGTCGGGAGGCTGTTCACGCCATTAAGCCATATACATGAAAGTAATGAATATCTAATCAACACATAATAATAAGCATGAAGGCTGCTTCCCGTCTTCTCTCTTTCCACGAGGCCTAATGTAATATAATGTAGTGAGTTTGTAGGCGAGTATTCAGTCTTATTTCTCTCGTTCTCAAACGCTATTACTGACAATGCCCCTCTACATTCTACATATTTTGATAACAGTCTCCAGACTACACCTATCAACTTATAGCTTATGAGAATCACTCAATTAATCCTTTACCGAAGTGATCAGGTCATTCGATGTGTGGCTCTCAACAATAGTGAACGCGGCTAACAAACGAGCCTGATACAAGCAAGCACGCAAATGAGCACACTTGATTCGCATGAAAATCTAAGCTCGCCCTTCCTCCTCATCCCCTTCCTGCTCTATCGCAACCATAATCGCCTTTGTCTCTTCGAGGCACTCCTCCTTCCGATACTCTTGCGAATTGGGCCAGCCGTGGCGCCGGTAAGCGTCCTGGAGCGCCGGGACAGGATTTCTCGTCATCGTGCTCTCCGAATCCAAGACCTCGTACTCGTTCCACGGCACCCAGCGCAGAAAGCGGTACTCGGCCTTGAGCACCTTGAAGAAGTCGGCGACAGACCAGGCGGCGCCGTCGGCACGCCACTCGGCGTCTTCCTTGTCGTCGCAGTAGTCGTACGGGTCATCCTCGATGCACCGGGGCCCATCGCGGAGCCGGCCGGGACACTCTGGCCAGTAGATGACGCCGAGCTCCGTGTCAACTAGGAAGGTGTGGTGCTCGCTCATGGTCAGTCCGACGACGCTCTCGGGTACGTGCTCCGTGATGGCGGGGCCTTCGGTGATGGTGTGAAGCTCGTCGATGTCGCTGCCGCCCTCGCGTACCCAGGTGCCGGACATGCGCCAGTCTATCCAACGGCCCCCGGGGGTGACTTCTGGTATCTCGCTGTCGTCTAGATCTTGGCGGATGTATGGCAGATGCGAGAGCAGGCTCAGTACCTCGTCCGACTTCCCCAGGTCCTGTAGATCAGAGGCCAGCGTTGGCCACCCTCCTGGCGGCGGGTGTACGACAGCCGACTCGGGAAGGTACATCTTGGCCAGGAAGGCGAAGAAGTCGGTCACGGCGGCGACTGTAGCCTCCTCCGAGTACTCGACTTGGTCAAGCGTCCGCATCTCGTATTCGTGTTGCGGTCAAAGATCCTACCGGCGTGCCTAGTATCGCCTTGGCATTGTTGACTTCTGGAAATGGAGCTGTATGAAATTATACTTGATGGCCAGAAGTTTAGCTAATGGTGTTTCTTTCCTGGAAAAAACAAATATGAGAAGCGAGGGCGGGAAGACGGCAAACATATCAGACGGGGGCAAGGAACTGCGCCGCTCGTCTTAGATAAGCGGTTTTGTTGTTACACCAACTGTCAGGGGCGATCTTGATGATGATTTGGTTCCCAGTCTTCCTTTCCCTTCCCCGGTTCGATCAAACCGATCTTTCGACAGGAAGTTCATCGCATTTCAAATGACATGCCATTGGTAGTTGGCTCATGCTCGAAGAGTGCCTGGTAACGGAGTCAAAGTCTTCAATACTGCTAGCTACCGCAACCTCATCACCAACTTTCACGAGGCTTCACATCCACAGGACTGAAGACCTACACCGGAGGTCATATTTGGACTGATACTTGTATCCATAAATCATCAATATCCTCATCAGTTTACCAAAGCAGTGACCTCGGAGGCATCAACTTGAGTCGAGCACTGCAGATTTTTAAGTGTTGGTCATCAGGGATAGCCAACACCAACACCATACGGTAGCTCAGTATATAGCCCTGCTTGTAGCCTGGAAATTAGGCTGAACGGACTGGCCTTGTATGTTCTCACTTTTGTGTGGTGACGGTTCTTGTTCCTTTCCCGGCTCCGCTTCGGCACACACAACCTACCAAACGTTACTTGTACCACCCTGTCCACGGCGGACACCTCCCAAAGGATGCAATACTTTCATGTGTAACGATGTGGGAAAAGTGACGGGGAAGGCAAGGGAAGCGGCTTGACTTTCCCCGGCGCGCTAGGACCTGGTACCGGACAGTCGGAAGAACCATGCCTTGTACGGAGCAAACAGGTGGTGTGGATACAGCCAGCATCTTGAAAATGCGTATAAGCTTGGGGGGAAGAGACTGAGGATTAAATTATTAAACCCTGGACGTTGATCACATGCCAGCTTATCCAAACCTCGATACTCGGGCTACGATTCAGACTTCGATGGGGAAGTTATACAGATTACCAACCTTGCCATAAGGGCAAATAGGCAGTCATATGCGAAAGGATACATCAGGTGTATCTCATAATTCATAGACATGAAGTAAATTCAGTATAAACATTAAATACAATGAGCTAATCGTTAACGACGCTTCGGTATCCTTTCGATATCATCCAGATTGACCTGTACAGCTCCGCCCAATTCCGCCCACACCTCAGTATTATTATCTCTACTCAGTTCAGGCGACACACATACTATCCGGTATTCTTGTAGTTTTGCGCCGCCGTTACACCAACAGCGACGCATAGTAACACTGACAGGCGAGCACCATTGAGGTCCCCCTGAAGATCAATGGGCTCAGCGTAACATGACTCTGTGTTCCCTTCATCCTATCAATGCCGCCAGAGCTGAACCGCCGACGTTGATGAAGTATTGCTCAAGAAGAACCCAGAAAAAGACCAAAAAAAGGCTCACCCCTCACTTCGAGCACGCTTGTGCACCGGGTGCTCAGGTGCATCTAGCTCTGAGGCCGGCCTCCTCCGATTCGGCGATGAAGGAGATGCCGCGGAATCGGTAGACTCTCTTCGAGGTTGTCGGTGAGGTGGCTTCTTTTGAGTATGCGTCCCACGTCCCAGGAACTCTGTGATGACTGCTTCCGTTCCAATGACATTTGACGATCCCCTAACAGTGATACCCGCATCCACTTCCAACTTCAATGGTCTTGGCCGCCCATTCTCGTCTATCAAGGGACACCCGACTGTCCAATCTCTTTCATAAATGGCATCAACTATCGCTTTCGCAATGGAGTCCGCCTGTGCCGCAGGCGAATAGGGTAGGGCGATGAGGTTACTATCGCTGGCCACGTCGATTCGTGTTGAGATACGCAAGGAAATGGGTGGTGAATCCTCTTCTTCCTCTTCCTCTTCGGTGTCTAAGATCGAGTGGTGCGGAAGATGAGAGGTCTGTTGGCTGTATTGGCTATCGTGAGTAACATCCCGTCTCACGAAGTGGGATGCGATGCTTCCAAAGACCGTCGGTTGTGCCTGCGGCGAGTATGCTGGAGGCTGAGGTTGTCTCCAGGGATCATTATCCTTGGGTGTTGTCAGAGCATGGAGGCCTGACAGTAGAGAAAGTTGATGGGTCCGGACGCTTCCGGTGGCTGAAGCCATCATCGGATATATGGATGAGTAGAGAAGAGGTGGTGATGAAGTAAGGCAAGCAGCAGTGTCTTCGAAGTCCTACGCTTTTGCAAGCTGATAGAGACGCTTTTATATCGTTTTATCTTTCGCCTTTCCTCTCGTAATCCAGATATGGAGTATAACAAGAAGAAATAGTAGTCGATATATAACTACTTCCTTGGGCATTTGACAACACATTCAAGGTAAGACCAGGTTTCTTTAGCGGAGATGTGACAGAAAGACGCCAAACGTGGGAAGTAACATTGAAACTCAGCTTTCCCTGTTCAGTTGGTAGAACGGAACGTTCAAGTGGGCAGTGCCTCTCTACTCTAGTGGGTAGACCGGAGAAAACACCAGGCAAGCACAATGGGCTCCGTTCCATCACTCATCGATAATACATCATCTCTCACATTTTGCTGTCCAGCTCCACCTGGGATATTCTTTCAGAGACACACGGTGTAAGCGTAGAAGTTAGAATCCAACCACCACTAGCCCTGGTGAGCTTGTTTGAGCTCCTAGAGTAGGATGAGTTGGGCCGGCTTCCCGCAAATCTCCGTTCGACCCAGGCATCCTCTCTGCTTCTCTTGCTCGGACCGCACCTTTGTGGTCACCGGCAGCGAAACGAGACCCAAGCATTCGGCGCAAGAACAAGGGTGTGGCGGATCCCGACGATGCTTGTTGCGCCCAAAGCACGCCGATCGAAGGAACAAATTAACCCAGATATACTCTCAAAAGAGCAATTGCCCACATGGCGAGAGGCATGCCCCCATGCCTGAACAGGGCAAGGCGGAAGATGTCCGGCCCTCTCTAAGACGATTGCCAATGGGAGCAACGCGCCCCTGCCTCCGGCGTATCCAAAAGCCGGCCAACACTAAAGGAAAGTTTGACACTTCACACGGCTGAATGGCGTTACCAGTTTATTGTTCTCCCCGGAAAGCTGCATTGCTGATGGGCATAGAGCAAGGGGGGTGCGGAAGCCGGAGGGGGGCCACACGGAGCATCGACCCACTTTGCCGAACGCCTCTTCCCATTGTGGTGGCACGGTGGAGCTCCCCGATTGGCATTGTTCTCGGATGTGTGTGGGGCAACGTTGCTATTGTCCAACGCCTTCGGCCCCTTCGCTTCGCAACCGCACCCGCCGGCCGAGGAATCGCACCGCCCATCGTACCCCAGCGGCAACCCGTCCCGAAGCAGTTGGATCGAATCTCTGATATCCCAGCCATGAACCACTCCTTCGATCCTTCCCATCCCTCCCCTAAATGCATTTTACCCTTCCCGAATTTTCTGAGCAAGATGAAGAGATCCCCTTTCACTCATCCCGGTAAACCACACAGCCCCTGCCAGGCCACTAACTCCGGCGCCGGCCATTGTTGGCGTCGTTGGAACTGGTCTGGTTCAAACCTGTTGGAACGCCTTGTCACTTGTCAGGCGTAGATCGATATCACCAGAAGGCAAAGCTGGTCGACTGCGGCTGATACCGGAAATGAGCTTCAGAGGCTTGTACCATTCCTCTCGGCATGGCTGCCTTCTCTGATGCCGGGATCTTTGGGTTTGGATTCCTCGAGCTACATCTTGGCTGACAGGGACCTTACGTCGCCAATCATCTTGTACGTCGACGAGCAGGCAGGCAACTCGAAAGACTATCCCCCTGTCTTCCGGGAGGCTGGCAGCGAGCCGCAGAGCAATACCATGGCAGAAACAGTGAACTTTGCCGAGGCGACATGTCCCTGAATCCTGGGTAGTGCGGAATTAAACCGGCCTTACAAGTCCCTGTTGTCTTCGTTCGCTCGCTTCAATTAGCAGAGCAGGGTGGGCGTGACATACCGTACCCTGGGTTGCCATTCATTCCAACTTCCAACGCTTCTACACTCGGCCGTAAGGAAGATCAAATCCCTCAACGGTGTTTGAAAAAGAAGTTTGCCATATCGCCAGAGAATGATCTTCGTCATTCCATCACGAACACGTTGGCTTGTGATGACACAACTTCGCATGCCGACTGCATCGCATGTCAACGGGAAGGACTATGTGTTCGTTTGACTTCTCGCAAATTATCTCTCTGGCTTCGAGATTATCAGCGATATTGATTGCATGTTCTAGAATGATTTCAGAGGGCTGACGGATCCAATCATGAACTCACTTATACCAGGTCATCAACTTTCCGCCAGTCACCGGGCTCTTCAAGTAACGTACCACGTTTGGTCTTCCCAAACCTGATCGCCGATTCTCACTCCATTATTCCATCTTGGCCGGCTTCCCGTAGACCGGTGTACGCCTCATCACTTGGCTCGGTGTGATTAAGTTACCACTCCACAGCTCTAGCCCCACGACGAGATGGCCATCAGATGCCGACCCATGAAACGCCAACATACCTGCACGTAACGTGGCGATCATGAACCAGTTCCAACTGCACATTCCTAATGCCGCTCGACTTACTCGGCATAGTGCCGACCAACCAACCAAAAAAGCCATGGCAAGTTCCCAAACATGATCCAGCTTGGTTTGCTTGGCAGAGCTAGGCTACAACTGTGATCGTGGACCAGCACACATATTCATGAGAACATTGGTTTTATGCTATTGCTTTTCTTTCTCCCGCTGAACCGCCAAACCCGCAAATACTTGAGTTGCTATTACAGTGGGCTAGCATTAATTAGCCCACAAAGCAATATTAACAACAGCAGCAACTTCAATGTGCCGGCGCGGATCCGCTTGCGGCATTTAGCATATCCACTCTGAAAGCCGAAGTTGTTTCGAGGTCGCTTTCTACAAACAGACCACCTCCCGATGCGATTCGGCCGTAGACATCGTCTGGTTCAAAACGCACAAGGCATACACAAATCATCATTGAGACCGAGCTGGTTCCCCTCGTCTCTGATTGGTTACCGTTGGGATGGTTTGACCTGATCTTTGCAGGTCAAGCCCAAAACCTACGTTCTCTCCCATCCCATCACCAGCCCTTTCTCTTCTCTTTCTTTCCCTCTCTCATCCTTGTTTACCTTTTGCTCGAACCACTCCTCAGGCTTCCCTCTAGATGAAAAGCTCACCACAATGCACGCTACTACATGTCTGTGTCACAAAATCTCACAGGAGCAAGCTCAACTAGTCAATCCTAGGAGGAAACAACAAGGAGACAAGATGGGGGGAGTTGGGGTTACACACGGGATACCATCTTATTGCAACTTTAGTCGATACGACTGTCCCAATCGGGAAGCGTAAAGGACGATGATTCCGCCCAGCCAGGTCGAGGTCTCCTTCAGCCTTATTGTCGCCGACTTTTTTGTAACATGTTCATATGAGGTAACTCCAGGGAGTTCGTGTATTTTCAATGTCAGCTAATGGCAGCCGCTACCATTTAGTCGACGGCGAAAACGTGACCACCCAAAACGGGAAACCAAATTGTTGCTTATTTACGTTGGTTACTTGATGTAGCAGCAATTCCAAATCAAACTCATGAATATAGGTTTCGGGGATGCCAAAGTTGTCTCTTTGCGCTTTGTGGAGCTGGAAAAAGCCATTCTCTCAGTCTCACCGCACCTTGCGCAACGCAAACCCTTCCCGGAGAATCGTCAACTTCGGGAACAGACGCCGGGCCGCAAGCTTGATACTAAACACTCACGGACCGCCACGGGGCCCCGGAGACGTATTCATCGATCGGAAGACTTTCCACATTTTCCCGTGGTCCCGTGTTTGCGGCCCGGAGGTTTGTGTGACGGTCTCCGGAGGTGGAGGTCCATTCAAGTCTTTATTTAGATCCTGGGAGGTTTAGCTGATACGATACGTTTGTTCGGAGGAAAGGGAGATGGATGGTATTTATAATAATCATTCCTCGTACGCGTATCAAGATACTAGGGAAAGTGACACAAGGAGGACTTCAAGTCTTTTGGACTTGGTCGCAGGAATTCGCGGTCGGGTTTACGACAAACAACGTTCCGAAGTATTGACTAATATCCGTTTCTCCCGATGAATCTGTAAATGTACAGAAAAAGACGAGTCCCCCACCCAAGTGTCTCTGTCGTCAAAATCAAGAAAACATGGCTGGATTAGAAAACCACGTCAAACATCCCAGAAATCACTCACTGACCAAATTCCAGTACATACAAGGACCATCATAAGACAAGAATACAAACTTCCACTCATTCACATACAAATATCACGCAAAAAACACAAAAATTGAAAGAGACGAGACTCGAACTCGCGCGGGTTGCCCCACCAGGAAACAGATGTTAAGCTGACCTTAACCTGGCGCCATAACCAACTCGGCCACCCTTCCGGGCATCGTCCAGCTTCGGTGGATTGCTCCACAGAGCCCGTCGGACGTTGTGTGGCAGCAACGGCGAGAAAGAATTATATAACGGACATAGTCTTGCGCGTCTTGGGAGGGGGGCGATATCACGGAGGTCTTTCATGGCAATTGACACCACGAAACTTTTGCGTACTTTGTGACACGTCAATTTGGCGAACCTCCCACCGGCGGAATTTTTTTTCGAAAAGGTATACTCCGAATTAGACTTTCCGTCCTGCATGCTGAAAGTCTGACTTTGAGTCTCTTGGCCAAAGTCATTTCCGCCTCCTTATCCGAGGACGAAGACACTCAGTAGCGGGCGGGCAGTGTGGTAGTCCATCAAGCGACGTATGGCGTGCGCTCAGCTTCATGCCGTTGAGAAACATGTCTGGGATTGTGCGGCCGTCTTGAGACTAGGTTCCTTCTAGAACTACAAGGGAATGTCCCGAGACATGTCATGGAATCTAGGCGGTGAAGCTTGATGGAGGCGCTACGTAGTCATTTCTGTTCCGCGTCATTGGTTCACAGATACATGTCTCAGAAAGTCAAGTTCGTGAGATCCTCATCTCTATTGCCAGTAGCCAAATGGTCTACCTATCTACAAATCATGAGCTCTCTCCAAGCTCACATCATCCCCATCATGCCCAAAGATAAAAACCTCTGAGGCCTGTCTCCCCCCGGCTATTCGCCTCTGCCACCCTCAACCGCGCAAGAGATGGTCGGCTAGAAAACCAGGAAAGAAAAGATGTTGAAGTTCTTTTGTTTCCCCGTTAACGCCGTTGTAGATGCTTTGTTCCCCTTTCGAACAATCCGAAGGGTATCTTCTCATAATGCATTGCTCTTTTTGTGACTTTGGAAAAAAGAAAACGAAAAAAATCGCTTCAGGATTTGTTCCTGTGTAACCCGCTTTGTGTCTTTGTTGAAAGACGCCACCGCTCCCTTGTTCCGATTGTTTTTAACACCGTTTGACATAATATGAAAAAACGATCCTACCAAAAAGACCACGCCCTCGTGTCTTGATGTTGTTGTTGCTGCCTTTACCCGAAAAGGCTGGAAACCGGGATTCGTTGAGAACCGTACGCCATGTTTGAGTGCCTGTCCGCATGAATATCAAAATTATTATAAACGTCTAGGTCGTTGCAATGCAGGAAGCTTGTTGAAGAAATCCTGCTCGGTCCAGTACTAATTGACTTAGAACTTGAGAGTCTTAGGCTGCTCCCAGGTGAAGGTCTGGTTGGTACCGAAGTGACCGTTCTTGGCGGTCTGGAGGTAGATGGGGCGGTCCAGGCTGAGCTCGCGGACAATGACACCGGGGCGGAGGTCAAAGTTGTCGCGGATGATCTTGACGAGCTCATCGGAGGTCTTATCGGAGGTGCCGTAGGTGTCGACGTAGATGGAAAGGGGCTCGGCGACACCAATGGCGTAGGAAAGCTGGACGAGGGCACGGCGGGCAAGGCCGGCGTTGACCAGGGACTTGGCGATCCAGCGACCGACGTAGGCAGCGGAACGGTCGACCTTGGAGAAATCCTTGCCGGAGAAGGCACCACCACCGTGGGCACCCCAGCCACCGTAGGTGTCGACAATGATCTTGCGACCGGTCAGACCGGCGTCACCCTGGGGACCACCGATGATGAAGAGGCCGGAGGGTTGGATCTGATGAATGTTAGTAAGGAAGTCAAAGGGTAGCCACAATGGGGCTGAACTCACGTGGTAGACAGTCTTGTCGTCAAGGTACTTCTCGGGGATGACCTTCTTGATGATCTTCTCCTTGATCTCCTTGCGGAGCTGCTCGGTGGTGATGTCCTCAGCGTGCTGGGCAGAGACGACAATGGTGTCGACGCGCAGGGGAACAACGGCACCGTTGTCGTGCTTGTACTCAATGGTGACCTGGGTCTTGGTGTCGGGGCGGAGCCAGGGAAGGGTGCCGTCACGGCGGGCAGCGGACATGGCAGCGTTGAGCTTGTGGGCGAAGAGGAGAGTAAGGGGGAAGAGCTCAGGGGTCTCGTCGGTGGCGTATCCGAACATGATACCCTGGTCACCGGCACCGAGCTGCTCGAGGGCCTTCTCGTAGTGGAGACCCTGGGCGATATCGGGGGACTGCTGCTCAATGGCGACGAGCAGGTTAAGGGTCTTGTAGTCGAAACCCTTGGCGGAGTCATCGTAGCCGATGTCCTTGACGGCGTCGCGGACAACCTTCTGGTAGTCGAGCTTGGCCTTGGTGGTGATCTCACCGAAGACCATGATCATACCGGTCTTGGTGGCGGTCTCGCAAGCGACCTTGGAGAGGGGGTCCTCTCTCAGGCAGGCGTCGAGGATGGCATCGGAGACCTGATCGGCGATCTTGTCGGGGTGACCCTCACCGACAGACTCGGACTATATCGGGAGTTAGCATGGGTGTTCGGCCTAAGGGGCTGTCGGCAATTAGCGACCAAAAGGGTTTGCTTACGGTGAAGAGGAAGTTGCCCTCGTTGTAGTGCTTGCGGCTGGCAATGCCGTTGCCGTTGACACCGTTGGTAGCAGACATCTTGGATAGATATGTGTGGGAAGTGTGTATGTGAAAAGATGTGAAGAAGAGAAAAAAAAAGTTTGAGGAGCTCGGTGCGGTGAAAAAATACCGACGCGGGGTTCCGAGGGGCTATGAAGACAGCAACGGGTAAAAGCTACTTCTGGATTCAATGGGTCAGCCGTTTGTCCTCTTTTCTCTGGGTCTGCGTAGAGGGGAGGGAAGCTCAACGCAAAGTCAATTGCATACCTTTTGAGATGGAGAAGGGACACGGAGGAGGGTGAGTCTTGTGGATGTAGAAGGAGGAAAGAGTGCGAAAGGAGGAAGAGGAAGATGTGGCCGTTCGGGTTTTAAAAGAAACACAAGACGAGCGCGCGACCTGGGGATGGGGACTCTGGGACCCGGCTTGGGACTTGGGATGGTGGCCGGTTGGGAAGAAATTCTCGCTCCTCACTTGCTCCTCTTGCTCCTGCTGCTGCTCCTCTCTGGTCTCTGCTCTGTATCTGGATGTACCTTTTGCTCCGTACCTTGCCATAAGCTCAAGCGGATTTGAGGCACTATTCGTGGGAGACATTGGCCGAGGGCCGGACGGCAGGGAAGGTACCCACACAAGCATAGTAAATTACTGTGGTGGGAAGGTATATTCACCGGTTGACCCCTCCATCCCTATGTACCAGCCCTGTCGAGGGGGAGGGTCCAAAATTCTCCAGATTGCGCCATCCTCACGACTTCTCTCCCTTGACCGCCTTCACTTCTCGCAGCATATCTGTGACCTGTGTCAGTCAGGCACACTCTCATTAGTAGAAAAGGCGCCGTACGTGCCGTATCAAACACTCTTCAGGCCACATTACAGCACCCCCGTGTACCGCTACGGCCACCTCTTGGTCGGTGAGTTGCGGTTCAACAAGATAGCGGGCATCCTACGGTCTGGCTTGCTGGCCCAAGAAGGGAGTAAAAGCTCAGATTTACACAGTCACCAGGATGCGTCTCTCAACGAGAGCAGCGGTGATCGTTCCCCGAGGGAGCTCGGGCTTCCTTCTGTTTCGTCCTTCCCATTTTTTCCCTAGCCCTTTTTTCCCTCTTGGTCAAGGCCAGCACGAGCCCGATGGTGTTAAGAACCTTATCCTCGCCTCACAAACTAAGGTAACTTCCATTGTATTGTGTGTAGGTAAGCAAAGTACGGGACATAAAAAGCAGTAGTGTACGGAATATGGCATCGCGCAATTGCTATGGTCAAGCACGGGAGCCGAAACTCTCGACGAGAACTTTGCTGACCTGAGATTGTCTCTATTAAGACTCTTCTAGTTCTGTCTCTCTTACCAATGCATTGTACAGTTAATGACATTCCACGAGGCGTCCCTTTCTTCCTGGATAAGACATGCGAGTTGTTCGAGACTGGGCAATACGACCCCCTGTTCAAAGTTCGGAATGTCAACGGCACGCGCACAATTCTCGGCGACATTCCCATCCTCCATTCTTCCTATGGATGTCTGAATGTGTCCTCTACAAGTATAGCAGTGACTCCCTCGGCGTATCCCTCCTGCGAAGACTCGCATTCCGAACATGACTGCGAAGCCACCCCTCCAATACCTCTAGAGACAAGTGAGAAACCCCCGCCGAAACAGGCTAATCCCAACTAGGAGCTACGCTGTATAGCATCTCTAACGGGCCTGGTGAGAATATGCCCCTCCCGCGCTCTACACGTGCGAGCGGCATTGGCCCGTAATTCCGCAGCAAGCCGTCCGTCATTGTTCTTACTGTTAGACAAAATTGGTCCATGGGAAGAGGGGGGCATCCTATTGTCTCTTATCGCAAGCTATCGCCGCCGTGAAATAAATTTTCAATTTTTTTCCTCTTGTCGCTTGCCATACTCCAACCCCCGGCACCGGCGCTGATATCACAGTGCAACCTTGTCGCATCCAATTTTTCTTCGTCACGTCACGTTGCTCAGCGCATCCAGTACCGGAGTAACACTACTCAAAAGAGTCAAAGTGTAGCTTCTTTGATATCTTACTAATACCTTAAGGTACCTACCTGTAGGTACGGACTCTCTGGGTCTCCTACGATCCTAAAGTGGCGCGCAAAGACAGGCGCTGCTGATCAACCGCGACCCTTGACGCGCGCCCGTTCCTGCATGGCGGGGTAAATTTTCATAGGCAAACATCCATTCCTCTGCCCAAAAAGTCTGCGACAAGTGACTCTGCCGATCCAAGGCCACCACCACCACCACCACCACCACCACCAACTACCCGAACCGCTGACGCTCCCGCCACTACTCTGCCACACGATATCCAGGCTCAGGCACTCGATCAGGAGGAAACACACACAGCCTCTTGCTTAGCTCTGCCCTTACATATCTGCCCGCAAGTCTCAACCCACGAAACAAACCGCCCACCGTATTCTCCCTCCCATACGCCATCATGTCCAAGTACGGCGTCATGGTCATGGGCCCGGCCGGAGCCGGCAAGGTCAGTACTCCAAAGTCAACACCCTTCTTCCGCTCCGTTACCCGGTCTCCGTGCGGCATCCAGAACCGCCGTCCCATCTCCTCTTCGTTCCGTTACGCCGGCCGGAGCGCCGGCTACACGCCTCAAAAATGCCATCCGAAAGCTAACATCCCCTCCGCCTCCGGCAGTCCACCTTCTGCGCCTCCCTCATAACCCACCTGAACCTCAACCGCCGCTCCGCCTTTTACGTCAACCTCGACCCGGCCGCCGAGTCCTTCGAGCACGCGCCCGACCTCGACATCAAAGACCTCATCTCCCTCCACGACGCCATGGAAGAGGTCGGCCTCGGCCCCAACGGCGGCCTCATCTACTGCTTCGAGTTCCTCATGGAGAACCTCGACTTCCTCACAGAGGCCCTCGACAACCTCACAGAGGAGTACCTCATCATCTTTGACATGCCGGGCCAGATCGAGCTCTACACCCACATCCCCATCCTGCCCGCCCTCGCCCGCTTCCTCTCCCAGCCGGGCAGCCTCGACATCCGCCTCTGCGCCGCCTACCTCCTCGAAGCCACCTTCGTCGTCGACCGCGCCAAATTCTTCGCCGGCACCCTGTCGGCCATGTCCGCCATGATCATGCTCGAGATCCCCCACATCAACGTCCTCTCCAAAATGGACCTCGTCAAGGACCAGGTCCGCAAAAAGGACCTCAAGCGCTTCCTCACGCCCGACACGGGCCTCCTCGACGACGACCCCATCTCCATCGCCGCCGCGGGCGGCGAGCCCGACGACGGCCGCGGCGAGGTGCACGATCGCGACCTCGTCATGCGCGGCCGGAGTTTTCAGAGGCTCAACCGCGCCGTCGCGGGCCTGATTGAGAGCTTCAGCATGGTCAACTACCTCAAGCTGGATAACACGGACGAGGACAGCGTCGGCGCGATCCTGAGCTACGTGGATGATATCATCCAGTACCACGAGGCGCAGGAGCCAAAGGAGCTCAAGGACGAGGAGTTTGACGAGCCGCAAGACGACTAAAGCTTGGGTGCTTGGCATGGGGTGCAAAAAGGGGCTGTTCCCTCCACTACCTAGTGCTCACGAAGGCACGGGTTCTCACGTGGTTGTGATTGTGCCGGGCCCCTCAAGATAGATGGCATATTGGCGAAAACAACAAACGGTACGGAGATATAGAAGGTTGCATAGCGTTGGCGTTGGTATTTTTTTTTTAATCCATTGACTCATTCATAATCGTGTCCGACAACATCCTTGGCAGCTTTCCTCTGTCTACCACTGTACCGTGTACCATTTGCCTGCTTGATCGAGAGCCGCAACGGAGCTTCTCGTCTTCAATCATGAGCGACGCGATGCCTTCTCAGTCTCGTGAACCTCGCCCATGATACTGCAGTCGTCCTCGCGGCCTCAAACTTTCTTATACAACAGGTCGGATATTGCATCTTGTCCTGTTCCGTATGCCTTGTATAGTCGTATTCCTCAACAATCCACGTCTTCCTTCCCCGGGGTATATCCCACCATTCGTTTCCCAACAACCCTTTCCCCCGACTTGTCCAGCGAAGTACCTCCTCGTCGTGTTTACGCCGGGAACTTTCGTCCCGATGATATTCAGTAGGTTAGGAAGCTTGTTCAAGTTCCGGGTTTCTGTCGACTCGTCCAAGAGGGTCCCCATAAGACCTGTCCCTCTTTCAACGGTACTTATTTCCCTGCACCTTCGTCTCCTCCTCATACCTCCTATACTCGCTCACCCACACATCCTTAGCAGCAGCAGCGAACCCGACAACCTTGCCACCAACAACAACAGCGTCCCTCGCCGTCTCGAACACGCCCCTCTGCCACACGGCCGCAACAACGACAACAACACCGCCCCAGAACGCCAGCCGCAGCACCAGCGCAGTCCAAAAGGCAACCACGCGCCGGATCCAGTTGAGAACAATCACCGTGGCAGCCAACAGCGCGAGCAGCACCGCAAAAGACACGAGCTCGGGCGACGAGTGTAAAAAGTCGAGCGTCGCGTCGACGGCGGGCGCGAGGTACGGGTACAGCTCGTCGAAGGCGCGGGAGGCGGCGGCCAAGGCGTGGCCTTTCAGTTGCTGGACAGGCGAGGACGGGTGGAGGGCGTTTTTGTGGATGAAGTCGGCGGCATCGGGGGGAAGGAGGGAGCGGAGGAGGAAGTTTGGAATTGATCGTTCGGCCATATTGGGTGGTTGTTGTTTCTTGGTGATTTCTGTCGGAGGCTTTCCGGGGGGGGGGGGGGGGGAGGGCTTCCTCTCGGGATTTGGTGTCGTCTGAGTGATTGGAGCGATTGTAGAGGTTCAATGAAACGTGTTTTTGCTTCCCCGCTACGTCTTTCTGCGGCGTCTCGCTGGTTGCTCGTGAGTCGTTAATCCTCTCTTGCTTCCGATCGCGTGCGCGTGCGTACTTTTCGTAGTAGAAGAGCGTGGCTCTTTTGATGCCCGACACTGGGATGTACCCGAAAGAAAGGCAGAGAAAAAAAAAATCTCAATGTGAGCTTGTTGTTTTTCTTTGCGCTCAGAACCTAACCGACAAGCATAACAACACGAAATAAAACCGGTTGCGGTGAGGTTTTGGCGGAAGGTCCTGTGCGGGTGGAGGGAAAATGGAAATGGGCCAGGAAGGAAGGTGGAGTTGGACCCTTGGAACCTGAGCGCAAGCAGAGCAAGCACGAGGCACAAGGTACAAGCACAAGCAAATGCGGTGTGCACTCGAGTGGTGGTGGTGTGTCGTTGGTGCTGCTTTTTTCCAAGTGGAGAAGACAGAGGGATCACGCTAATTCGCAACGTTCGTTCTCCAAGCATGTGGGAAGGGAAAGCACCGACACAATGACATCGAGACAGGGACACCAGCCGCTAGTCTCTTTCTCTAGATACATGGCTCGAAGGTTCTCAATATTTACTGCATCCAACAGTCAAGAAGGAATTTCCATATGAATGGCAAGGTATTGCGAAAGACAATGCCAAAAAAGAAAAAGAAAAAGAAAAGGAAGACAGGAAAGTACGAGGTCCGAGTCCCTTCCCCTCAAGCTCCAATTCGGGGTACGAAGTAACAAGGTCCAGCTTCGACTTGGGACGAGGTTACAAGTCATTAGAAGTCTACCCAAATTCTACGAAAATGGTATTCAGAGCAGATCTTGCATGACAATACTCTTGTCTGTGTCAAGCAAATAAGGATACCTGAAAGGCATGGCGATGAAGGGTAATCTACTCTACAGCGTGCAGATTTGTTAATTTGAGGTTATAGATGAGTATCGAGTTCTTCGTGCGTCGGCTTCAAGCAAGGGGCTTTAGTAATGAACTCAGTCTAAATGTAACCCGAGAGGACGGATATCCAGGCATATCGTTTAGGTGTAGAACAAATGTACAACTCTTGTATGACTTGTATAGAAATCAATTATAGTCAGGATACGTTAGCAAGATGATTCATTACGGTGACTTGACTCGTAAGTCAACTTAGATCTCTTTCCCCAGAGCTGCGCCATCTGTTGTTCAAACCGGGAACGGGCGACCGCCAGGTATTCTGATTCCTTCATTCTACAGATCAACGATGCATGCTTCGTAAGGGAACCCAGACAAAGCCCCAGTGATATGGTTGGAGGCCGTTCGGCTCATGTACCAGAGATTATCACTGTGTGGCAAGGCTCTCTGATGAACCTCCACCAAAAAGCCGAAGTGTCAAGCGTCAAACGAGAAGAGTATGGGTGTTTCGCTGTAGAGCGATGCACATTCTGTGCCGGCGGAGCACGGAAATTATCACGAGTATCTCGTCAGAAGACAACTTGTTCACGATGCCGCTGGCTTCGTCAAAAGAGCAAACCATCTATCCAAGACCGCTCTCTCAGTCAAAAATCGATAGACGGATAAACATCTATCATTTAGCGGGCTAACATCGAGTGTGAGGACAACACTCGAAGGATCTGGGTCCTCTCATGGTGTGGAACCGACCTGGCCCTGACACCTGTATACCTAGATCGATACGTTCAGTGCTCGACTTATTTCTGGACAAACCGTTTTCGTAGATAGAGCGATTTTGAAAGTCTGGTTCAGTACTTGCAAGCTCTCCCATTTTCAATACCTCTTTACTGTTCTTGCGGTTGTTGTATTTTGTGTCTTTCGCAGTCGCACTTGATGCCCGATTTGTGACGGCGCCATTGTACAGGGGTTCCAGCTACCTCGCGTGTTCACCTTAACGGGCAGCATTTTCATGACAACGGTTTGCTTGAAATGGGAAACTAACGAGGTGGAGAGGTCGAACACCGCTGGCGAGCCTTGAACCGGACCCCAAGTGCGAGGGCGGGATTCCTCCTTTTCCGTGAGAGCTTCCTCACAAGGCAGCTAGCCACTCGAAATCTCGCAAATATTTTGTTTACACCGCATGAGATGCAATACGAAGTAAACACAAGCTCATTGAATGCCGCGACAACCACTCCCGTTCCAATCAGTGAGTTGTCAAGCGCGACTTACATCCACTCTCCAAAGGGCCTATTGGGATGCCTGGTTTGTGAATACTCTCAAGGACTCAAAACTCGTCACTGGCGCTTATTCTAATAGTGGAGCGAGAAAACACCTCATGGTCAATAAAAGTGAAGAGTAAGATATGAGCAGCGCCTGAAGTGTATATGGCCCATTGGTGGATGGATGGTTGAATGCATGGTCTCGGCAAGCGAACGAGAGATTGAAATTTGGTGGCCCTACATAAAGTTGCGGGTAGCTCATTTTTTTATTTCTGGTTCGCTTTCCTTGTCTTCTGCTTTCCCTAGAGAGCTGATTCCAACAACGAATGGATAAGAAGATTGGAATTGCCCCAGGCTTACGATCGTGGTGTGTGAATTGAATTTCGCTGGGTGGGTGTCTTGCGATGCGTTCAATCCTGGGGTCCGCTTCTCACACAGCTGTAGGCGATTTAGCTCGGTTGATGAGTGTGATTTGACTCCTCCATTGTCGGCATATCGCATTTACACTCTAGAAAAGAAACCCCCTTTATTACCCGTTTCCTCGACTGTGGGCCTTCACAGACGATACCTTGTATAGAATAACTTCTATGATCCGGCTCTGTCGAATGCAAGATCTGATCTGTGGAAGCAAATTGCGTCTGATTGGGCTCAAGCCTTGGAGGGCAAATCCAATTTGAGCCGGGGAGACCCAAATCCAGATATCAAGCTGGCTGGCCATGGGCAATGAAGGGGCGGGATAGAAAGTGCTCTCATTGCAAGCAACGCATACCTTGCAGTCACCGTCGTCACCCATGTCATCCTTTGCCAGTCTGCAAATGGGAATCTTGTTTCATCTACCTAGGTTGGAATTTTTTCATATTGTCACTCACGGGCATCCACCCCTTTCCCCCCCCTTTACACGAGGTGACAGAACGCCTTAACGCCAGCTGGGACTTGACTGCCCCAAATACCCATACCTTCGAGACTTTTCCGCTCCACTTTTCGAAAGAGGCACGGCATTCCTGCTGTGTCCCGATGCCATTATGTGACACTGCTTGCGCGATAGCCTTTTTTTATTTTCCTCTTTCCCTTTAGACGAGCAAGACCGCATTCACGCAGCCATCGTTCTCCTGGGTACCCCGTACGATTAGCTTTTCATATTATTGAGTTGACACTGCGTCACGACCGACTCGTCGAAGTAGCTCAAAGATGCGGCTAAAATAGCCGCGCTCTTAGATGGAATTTCACTTACCGGTGAATTCGTCACCTGGGCATATCTACCCCAAACCACTTTGCCACTCGCTGTCGTAAGGCCCATGTCCGATACGTTGACTTCCAACACGGTTCCTTTCGTAAGGACACCCAGATTCGTGTAAAGAGGGTTCTGAGGGTTCTTCTTGACTCCCAAAATTGGCAGTTTTACGGTTACGTTGAGCTCCGGATGGCAAACGTGCGCATGCTTATACCGTAAACTATAATCACCGTCAGTAAGAAGGGGGGTAGGGGGGATAGAGCGCTTCCGGTCACGTACCCCATAGGACGGATGAATCTGATATTGAAAAACCACTTCGTTAGCAAAGATCCTCAAGACGCCAAGACGCCGAATACGTAGGAATACTTACCGTTCGTGCTTGGGATCTCTCCGGGTGAAGTTGGGACCGACAAAAGTTGGCTTCGTAATCATACGCTTCCAGGACTTTTGGTGCGTCTTCTTTCCGGTCGAGATGACCTTGAACATCTCCTCCTCAGAGATACCCTTCACCTTGGGCAAAGGAACCTGGAACCGGGCAGCCTTTTCGGCACGCTTGTTCTTGATCTGGGACGAAATAGCCTTGGCGTTGCTCGGGTTGTTCCGGTCGAGAAGATAGGCGGGCATGGGCTCGCTGGGCTCCTTCTCGTCGTTCGTCTTGACATTGCGCTCCTCGTGGGCCTTGATCTGCTTGCGCATCTGGATCTTCTCGTTGTGGCGCTTCTTCGCGTGAAGCTTGGCGCGAAGACCACGCAGGTTCTGCGCATCCTTGGACGCCTTGTGGCCCTCACGAGCCTCCTTCTTGCGGGCCTTCTCCTCGTGATCGAGTCTGGGGGAAAGTCGAATGTCAGCACTCCCTTCGTCAACATTCCTGGTTGATTTCAAGATTCTAACCTCCGACCATGAAGCTTGCGCCATCTCTCCATGTACTTGATTTTTCTTTGTTAGCACGAGCCGAGATTGGGAGACGGAGAGGCCCTTCGGAGGGCATATCGTACCTCGTTCTGTTCGCGAATTTGTCAGTACAATGTATGAGAATAGAGACTAGGCGGGCTGCCGAGCGCGGGAAGGATACTCACCTGAGGCATCTTGAATGATTTACGCTCGTAGCGATTGCAGTTCTACAAGATGGTGTTGCTGATCTGGACGAAGTCTATTCGTCCGTAGTGTTGATGTCGGCGAAGCTCCTCAGGGTCGTCGTCCGTCGAAGTGGCGGGTAGCCAAAAAAAAAATCCCATATCGATAGCGATGTGGGGTCCGACCCCAAAATTCGAGGTCCAGCCAGGCGCCAGCATCCCTGCTTGCATCAGCGGAGCAACACATTTTCCGGGCACCCAGAGGAACTGCACTCCAGGTCTATCCGAACTTTTTTGAAGCTTCGTGTTGGCCGGGTCCCAGCCGCGCAGAAAGCCAGAGTCGACGAACGTGAGAGATCAACAATTGGACCGACAAACGAGGTCCGACTGTCTCTTTGTGTCCAACGACAACCACCAATTTCAAAAATCTCATTCATCAAAAGATGAGTCGCACATTGCTGCGCTCCGTCTTGGAGCTCAGGACACCCATCACGCGCCTCCCGCCGACCTTCCTCCTGCCGAACCACGCCCGCCGCTTCAACTCCACGGCACCCATCATCGAGCCCGCCGCAGCCGCACAAGATGCACCTCCCGTCGCCGCGCAAACCTCCTCAATAGCACAACAGGCCGCCGTCGGCGCCGCTCAGAGCACCACCCAGACATCGACATCATCCGCAACGACCCCGATCTCCGAATCCGTGCAGGCGGCCCTGCCCTTCCTGGCAGCCCAGCCCAACCACTACATCACCTTCCACATCCACGGACGCCCGTACCTCGTCCAGCCCGGCGACAGCGTCCGCCTGCCCTTCAAGATGCCCGGCGTCGTGCCCGGCGACGTCCTGCGCCTCAACCGTGCCTCGGTCATTGGTAGCAGAGATTACACCCTCAAGGGCTCACCCTTCATCGACGAGCGGGTATACGAGTGCCGTGCCGTGGTGACGGGCACGGAGAGCGAGCCAATGAGAATGAAGGAGAAGACGAAGAGGAGGCAGAGGAAAGTGAAGACGGTCAAGAGCAAGCATCGCTACACGATTCTGACGGTTAGCGAGCTGAAGATTAATGCGCCCGAAGAAATTGAGGCTTAAGAGGCAGGGCTGAGGAGTGTGCAAGCTTGTTCGAGTATGATTCAGGAATAGCAGGCCATGGACCGTATGAATCCATGTCCTTGTATCGTTCCCCGCCGGGGCTGTACCAATAGACAAATAAATACATTCACGTCATATAGAATTGGGGACTTTCATGGTCGCCGAAAATGTTGAAGCCAAGAGGCTTTAGTACAATTGATAAGGCGCATTATCTATGTCCGCGTCTCCAGAAAAAAACGTGCCCAATCATGGGGGAAGGCCGAAGCCTAGGGAATCAATATTGAAAACAGTGGTGGAGAAGAAAACGGCTGCACGAAGCAGTTGAACAAAAAGTAAAACAAACAGCCCAAGAAACTCCGAGCTATGGATATTCCGATGATCATTAAACCCAAGTAATGTCTCCATGACGCCTGATCCAACAACAATGCTCATACGTTTTCATCACCTGCTCGGATTCGTTGCTTTTTTGACACTGGTCCAGTAAGCCGATGGCCACAGAGACAGGGCCTCCGCATCTGTTGGCATGCGTTCTCGACACCTCGAGACAACGCTCTGAATGATTCTACCAAGGAGCTCTTCGTCAATGGGAAGTGCCTTTTCGCTCATCTCATTGGGGTATAGGAAAGGATCGGTCTCGTGAAGGAGCTCTTCACATGAAGGTCGCATGTCGACGTCACGGTTGAGACACCGTCTCAAAGTTCGCAACAGAGAAGGAGGTACCGGAACTCCTCCCATGGCCCTGGACGAGAACTCGATGTCGTGGTCCCAGTTGATGATGGCTTGGCACTTTGCCATTTGATTGCTGATATGGCCAAAGGGAGGCATTCCGTAGACTAGTTGGTACAGAATGCACCCGAGAGACCAGACATCGCTCGGCTTTCCCACTTTCATCAGCTTGGGTCGTCCAGGAACTCGGCCGCCTCGAGGCGCGTTGGAGTCTAGGAGCGACTCGGGCGACATGTAATTCGGTGTGCCAACTTGCGTTTCGCGGTGAACGTTGACAGTCTCATCTGTTCGAATTGCATTGGCAATACCGAAATCGATGAGTTTCAAGCGACCCTTGACAAGAACGAAATTGGCTGGTTTGAGGTCGGAGTGCACGATTTCGGACTGGTGTACCGATTGCAGGCACTCCAGCATTTCTTTCCAGTAGAAGCGGACCAAGACTGAATCAAATTTAGGCGATTCGGGATTTTGGCGACTCCTGAGAAGGGTGTGGAGGTCCAATTCGCCCATTTCCATAAGCTGGATACGGGTTAGCGGTGCCAACACGATCTAACAGAGGGTGACTTACTAAAGTGAGCATTTTCTTTTCACTGTTCATCTCATAGTCGAAAAGGTTGATGACTCGTTCATTGCCTCTCAGCTTGCCCAGTAGGTCGATTTCGCCCTTGTAGCCCCGGACTGTCAACTCGTCCGCATTCTCCAGCGATACTCTTTTCAGTGCAAACATTGCCCCGTTTTCGGCAGTAACACGGTAGACCTTAGCGCTACCGCCTCGGCCCAGACAGTCGAGTCTTGTGTAGGACTTTCCGTTGACACGAAGGATATTTCGCCTTTGCTTGCCTTGAGTAGTTGTCGCTGCGCCTGCGGATGTGGTGGCGGCATCAAGGACAGACATCTTAGGCGGCGGCGGAGGAGCGGCTCGGCGCGGAGTGTTGTTGGCCAAGGAAGCCAGAGGCTTCCGCTCAGGAGATGCCGCGGGTCTCTGTTGAGCAGCCTCGGGGTTGATAGAGCGCCTGACCACTTTTTCCATGACCATTTCGGCAGGCTTGACGGCGGTAGGCCTCGTACTTCGTAGTATAGACGCCGGTTCATTTTCCTGATCGCGGGAGGAGGGAACTTGAGGGCGAGGCGCAGGCAACTTGTAATGAATCTCTTCTGGCTCGTCTCTTTCCTGGGGAGAATGGCGCGCAGAAGGAGGGGCCAGTGGTTCAGCATACGACGCAGGCCTGCGATGTGTTGCTCTGGAAGGATCGCTCAAGGCGACTGGACTGCCTGATGACATTTGTCTGCCGTTACCATAGAAGGATGATGCCATCTCATTCTCCATGTCTGCGCCGTGTCCGTCGTGATACTGGCTTGAGATCAGACCCTCGCCATCGCCATCGCCATTAGCCTCCGCCTCTTCCTCACTCTGCCTTCTGCGCCCGCGTCGAGCGGGCCCGCTCAAGAAGCTTCCGGGAATCTTGCCTACTCGCTTGACGCGCATTGAGCCCTGCAGTGCGAGATTGTCCTCAGCCTTGGTGGTTCTTCCAGCATTAGAGGCTTGTCGGGATACACTGCCGGGATTAATACCAGTGGCGTGGCGTGCTACTGTGAATGGCTCCTCCGGGTGATCCTGTTCCATGTGGGAACCTGAACGCCTAGAGTGACTGGATGAGTTGGTGAGACGACTTCTATTGCCAGACGAGCCAGCAGCAATCCGAACGACGCGGATACCTTGGGCTGGTGTGTTGACATCCTGGGACGGTTCATTCTTTTCATCCGAGGATTGATTTCGGCTCTCTGGCCTACTTCTAGATTGGGGACGTTGGTTGGTTGACCGGGACAGCGAGGTAGACCTCCTCTTGGCGGGACGCATCTGGCCAAGGCTTTTGGGCGTATTGCTGAGTCTCACAACTCTTTTGCGCACAGGGCTATTCTCTCTGCTCTGCAGCGGCGACGTGGGCTTTGTCGACCTTGTGTCGTACGCTTGGGCACTTCCCGATCGGAGGGACCTTCTCTCCTCCGTTGCAGAGCTCGTAGACGCGGCAAGATTACTGACGCGGCGACGTGTTCTAGGCGGTGAAGCTGCTCGTTGCGGTTCAGGGCCGCTTCCATCGTTGAGGAGTGCCTTGGTGAGCGCACTGAGCTTCATAGGCACGGGTATCTCGTCATCGGAGCTATCGTGCATGGCGTACTGCTGTGAGTCTGCCTTTTTTGAGAGCGCGGGTGCAGCGGCGATCGCATGAACAGGGTTGGATTCGCTTCGATTGAGATGCGGACGAGAGGGTAGCCTCCTGAGGCCTTGTCGTACGGACGGTTTTCGTGAAAGGCCGGTTCCGGCGGTGCCCAGCGGCGTGGGAGAGGCTGTCGACATTTCGAGCTGGTAGGATAGTTTGTTGTTCCAATTTTGCGCAACGGGGGGCTGGGAATTAGTGGCGCGAATCTCCACGTCTCGACGGCCAAGCACCTTCCGCCAGAAAGAAAACGATTGATTTTGGCGATTGAACACTGTTTTACGTGTCAAATGTGCCCATGGTCCGAAAGATTGCAAATGGAGGAGAAATTAGTTTATGCGGCGCGTCACTAGCATCTTGTATGTCGGAGGGATGTGTCGATTCCTTGTCAATTGAGGACGTTCCCAGTATTTGGGGCTAGCAGGGGTTGGCCAATGAAAAACCAAGACCGGGGGATGTTGTTGTCAGAGCAACGATGGGTTGAACAGCAAAAGCGTAAGGCGGCACATTCTCCGTTGGGTACATGGAATTAGAGCTTGGGAGTTGGGACTAGCACCTAAGTCTTGCCTGAGGCTACAATCAGTGTCTACTTGGTAATGCCTGCAGCCTACCTTCCATCTTTAACTTGATGTAATCCCAAGGTTATTTTTCGCTTAAGATATATCGAGCGAGACCAGTCACAGCTTTCGGTCTCGAGCTTTCAAAAATGGGATGCGCCCGACTAAAGTGCATCTTGTCGCGAACATGTTGCCCCACATGAAGCAGGGTACAAGATCCGTGACACTATGTCGAGAGCGCCAACATCCAAAGCGCAAGTCAACATACGCTTACGTTTTATTATTCAACCCGGGAAGGAGCACACGGTCAATGATTTGGAGCAGTATTGTTCAAAGAACCAGCGAGCTTTTTATTTGACCGAACCTAGCAGGTGTTCCTACACAAACGTGTGCCGAAGCCCAACCCAAGAGAGATTTCCCCATGTCAATGACTTGTGAAAACGTCGGCCGATTGCTGCGTATATTCTTCGATGAGGCGAGGGCGTGAGAGGGGTATTTAGTCGAAGAGACCGAATCCCATGTCCTCGTCGGACTCCTCCTTCTCCTCCTCCTTCTCCTCCTTGGGGGCGTCCTCAGCGGCACCACCGGCAGCAGCACCGCCGGAAGCGGCGGCGGCACCACCAGCGCCACCAGAGGGAACGGAGGCAAGCTTGCTGGAGCCCTCAGCGATGAGCTGTGTATCATGTTAGCATCCATATCCTTTGCGCTTTATCGCAATACCAAAGTCGTAACGAACCTCGTTGATGTCCTTGCCCTCGAGCTCGGAGATGAGCTTGTTCAGGCGCTCGTCATCAGCCTCAATACCGACGGACTCAAGGACGGCCTTGACATCCTTGGCAGAGGGGGAGGTGTTGCCACCGAGGCCGAGGAGGAGGAAAGCGGCGAGGTGCTTCATCTTGAATGATTTTCTGCGACGAACGATTGTTAGAAAAGAGGGATCGTTAATTTTTTTGCGCCGACGTCGAAAATCTGAAGGACAATTGGCGACGAGATGGAAATCTTGCGTAGAGAAGAAGGGGAGAAAACTCACTGTTTGTCGTAAAGAACACGAGAGGTCAATCAATTTAACCGCGAAGTTGGGCGGAGACTGAATCTTCGAGTCTTGGGAGATTTTCGCGTGGTTGTTGAGAATCGGATGGTTGTCGGAAATGGAACTTTTTTTTCGTTTTGTGAGCCAGAGGGTGCGGGACCCTACCTTAGGGCGGGGAGGGCGGTATGTGGCTGGAGTAGCCGACCGAAAAGTGCACAAGCCACACCTATGCTACTTTCTGCTTCTCCAGCCACATTCAAGACCCCCTACGTCTACTCGGCCCGTGGACCACTGACAGCCTTCTGAATTCTACCACCAGAAGTCGACCGGGAGTCCAGAGTCAAAGCGCAAAGGGCCCAGTGGAGCCCACTCCACCGGAATCGGAGCCACTCCAGCTTCCGGATAGGCTAATGGATTGGACCACAGTCCAAGGAACCTAGGTGGACGGTACTGGAAGGACGGTACCAGTGA